GATCATCCTCATTAATACAATCTCTTCTGTCTCTGGATCACTGGAGGGATTTGCATCACTGCAAAAGCATGTGTGCGCGTGTAAAGTCTGTGTGTGCAAAACACTGGGGTGTGTCTGTCTCTATGTATGTCTGTGTCTCTGTATGTCTATGCCACTTCCAGTTGTGCTTGGCCACCACTGCTCTAGTCATTAACTTGGCTTTGTAACAGGCTACAACAACTACTTGCATTTATATAGCGCCCTTCACACGGGGTAGTTTTCCAGAGCCCTAGTACGGAGGCTAAGCTTGTGTCTGGTGATATAAATGCTTGTAAAAGTTGTGTGTTAATAGCAGGCAGAGATGCCCAGCATGCTGGCTGAGTGTCTTTAGTTTATGAAACTTTAATCGCTCATTATGGCGGCTCAAAAGGGCTGAGTTAATGATATGCAAATGTGAGTCTTGTTTAAAGTTCTTCCATCTGGTGATGTTCTGGCTGAGCCAGGAAGAGCTGTGTAAGCTAACCAGCCTGAATTGTTGCGTAAAAGCAGCAGATTTGCACTACAGTTTATTGGAAGTGGATCTGGCACAGCAATTGTTCCCTTTAAAATGATTGAGTGAGGCGGACACCTCTGATGGTGCAGTAACAAAGCTGTGGTTTACAGATCCCGAGCCCCACTGTGTTTGTTGGCCTCAACCAGGGCTGCATAGTGAGGCTAAAATGGCCTCAGCCTTTCCCAGGTTTACTTCTAAATTGTCCTCTTCAGAACCTTCTACTGTGTGTGCACGTGTGTGGCCGCTGGCTGGGGAGAGCGCAGTAAGATCCTTGACAGCTGAGTTGCCAAACAACACTCCCTGCCAAGCTCATACAGTGACTGACCACTGTTACAGTGACCATGTTGGGGGGTGGGGGGGACACACAGGCTGTTTGGCCATCAGGTGTGTTTCTCCCCAAGAGCCACAGAAGCTAATCCCACTCTCCTGCTCACTCCTCACTTCCCTTCATGGACAACAGTGAAGAAGATTAAACCTTAGATGTGATACAGTTGTTGAGAAGTTTTAAAGTGTAAAATAAAGTGCCATTGTAGGCAAATACTGCCGGCAATACTCCACAAACAGTGAGTGAGTGACCAATGTTATATTTGGTGTTGGCCAGGACACTGGGAGAGAGAAACTCCCTCTTTTTGAACAGATACATGGGATCTTTAACATCCACCTGAACAGGTTAACATCTCATCTGAAGCATTGCATTTGGAGTTTCAGCTCAGCCGGTATTCAATGTCCTGATGGGGGCTGAATCCACAGCCTTCTTATTCAGTACAATATAGTTTACATTTATGTCGTGCCTTTCAAGTCGGGAGGACGTCTGAAAGAGTTTAGAAGCAAGAGTGCAACCTCCTGAGCCAAGCTGGCCCCTGGCTAGATTTTCTATTTCTATTTTACCTCTTACAGTATATATCTAATTTCCTTTTTAACAATGATAGACTCGGGGTTTGTGGCAGAGTATCCGACATTCCAACACCCTGTGTGCAGACGTTTATTTTTGCTAACCTCCCTTTTAATTCTCTTTGTCATGCCCTTAAATGTGGGCCTTCTTGTAACGTATCATATTTCCATTTGAGTTTATTGGAAGAGAATCTGGCTCTGCAAATATTCCTTTTCACATTCTCACTGACCAGTGGAAATTATCTACAGTATCCCATACGAATGTTTGTGGGACACCCCTGTGCGCAATTGGCTGTCGCATTTCGCCCACAAAATACACAGTCAATTCACTTTACAGTATATTCTGTGAAGGGCTTAGAGACGTCTCGAAGACGTGATAAGGCGCTATATCAAATACAAGGATTATTATAAAATCAAACTGGGTCTGACATCACATCCTGTGCAACATTGTGGAATTGGTGTGGCTTCTGGCCCTAACCTCTAGACCTCCCTCCATCCCATGCCCTATCTACCTGTCCAAATCCTACTGAAAAACTACTGCTTGGTACACTGGTGATGGTGTGTTGGGGGAAAAGCGGTGTGTTGGGGTGGGTGGGAGAAGAATGAGCCTGAGTAAAATTGCCTGGTGTGCTGTGTGCCTGGGAGATGCTGTCCTGATGCAGCAAGTAGTTCGTTGGCTGTTGATCTTCCCGCTGTGCTATGAGGTGTGTGCTGTCGCTGTCTCTAGGTCAGACCTGTGAAGGGTGTGTGTCGTACTGTACTGGGGACACAGTAAGTACTGAATTTGTTCCCTTTCATTGGTGTAAAGTAGTCAAAGAAAACTTGGCTTTCAAATTTGGCTGTTTTATTGTTTCTGCTCCCCCTGAAGGGTGAAAGGGGAGATGATTCTTTAGAGGGTTTTGTGTAAGAGGAGATTGAGATTCTATGTCACATGAGCGTTACCTGGGAGAACAACTCCTCAGTGTGACTAGTGCAGTTTGTAAACTCCTGCGGTTTCTGTCACAGCTACTGCTCTGGGTTGAAATGACCTGAAGTGACCTGGGATGTGTACAGTGCCGAAAGAAAGAAACCATTCTACCGCATTTCAGGTTAGATTACATAACTGCTCACAAAGATTCCTTCCATGACTTTGATGCTTCTGATTGATTACAGGTTGCTGGGTGACATCCCCACCCTGAGGAGGTGATCACAGTTACTATGCAGCACTAATCACATTGGGCATCTCAGGAGGTCTTAGAAAAGCAGCCAGAGATGGATAGATGTTTGTTAGGTCAGAGTATCAATGAATATGGGGAAAAGGTGGATAATTAGAGTTGAGGTACAGATCAGCCATGATCTTATAGAATGGCGGAACAGGCTCGAGGGCTGAATTCTTCCTTGCTAGTTTGCTCAGGTTTAATATTAATTAGTATATGATACATCTTACTTCAACCTAACGGAGCTGAGGAGCTGTGTACAAGATGTCAGGGTTCTGCACTCCGGCTACGCTAACCTGCGTGAAGGGAGCTATATAATAATAATCCTTGCATTTGATATAGCTCTCTTCTGAACGTCTCAAAGCGCTTCACAGAATATACTGTAAAATTATTTGACTGTACATTTGTGGGCGAAACGCTAAGCTGCAACTAAGGTGTTGGAAGCATACCAGGTAACCAGCTGTCCCATACCTGACACACAGGTAATGCTGATGTTTTAAAGGGTTCTTTTCCAATCACTTACAAATACACAGTCACTACACTTCACAGTAAAATCCTGTGAAGCGTTTTGAGATGTCTGAATGACATGATAAGACAGTATTGTCAAAAGCAAGTATTATTGTTGTTAGTTTGGTGTTGGGTGTCTGTGTGGTTTGCAGTCTTGTTCTCAGGTTTATGAGCTTTTTGTTTTAAAATGTAAGATTGTAGAGAATTTTGGAAACTGATCTTAAATTCAGTTTTAGTTGTCAAAGCAATTTTCTTCAGTACCTAAAACAACTGGACATGTCTGAAAAACAGTATAAAATAGTGTGTGAAATGGCCTTGAGTGTCAGGACTGACACTGGCACAGATGGCAAAGCAAATCCCATCCGAGAGGGTTGGTGGAAGAGGATGAAATTCCACCTCCTCCTCTGATGAAGGAATCATGCTCGATTACATTTTTTAAATTCACTGTGTGCTTCAAAGAAATCTCTGCACTGTATTTACTGTGTATATGTATATATATATATATCTATATATATCCCAAAGCAGAGGCCAAATGCCTAGGACAGCATGTTCCTCTCAGTATCTAATTGACTCAATAGCGCGCAGATCAAATCTTGGCTGGTGTTAAGTCTGGGTTAATGTGCTGTTGTGATTTTGTCACTTATATTCCTCTAATTCACCAAAGTGGATATGAGAGAAAAAGCAACAGCTAAACGTGTTCGATATTCAGCGACTTTTGTTAACTGATCTGAGCCAGATTTGGCTGTTCATTCTACCATGAAAGTGCTAATCTGCTAAATAGTTGAATAAAGGCATGGAAGCCTTGTAATAGTTTCCAGTGAAACTCAGTTCCTGGAACCATAGCTTCCAAACAGAGCAGGAACCATGTTGTTGACAGAGTTTGCATCTGCTGCTCTGTGACCTTTGGGAACACAATTGCTGTGTGTCAGTGCTCAGTGAGGTTGGTGGTCATGCCACCTGATGCCCACAATCTGAGCCCTGCTCCATTTCCCATTGGACATCAGAGTGCTCAAGGGTGACTTGCCCCATGGTCCCTCGTGGCCCAGTTTCCATGTGAGTGACTGGAGTGGCAGCAAGTTGTGTTCAGATTGAATGTGCAGCACTAGGATCAGGGGAACGGGACACTCTCCTACCACCCCCCATTCCCTTTCCGCCCTCCCTTCCACCCTCCCTCCCTTTCCAACCCTCCTTTTCCCTTCACACCTTCCTTGCCCAGAAATACAGAAACCAGCTTGTGCTCTTCTGATCACGTTGTGTCTCTGCACAGTATAGTGCCTTCCACATTACCCCAGCCTGAGAGAAGCTCTTTTCATACAACCTTGACGGGGTTGCCTGTCCATGGTACATTGGTTTGCAAACAAAGGAACAAAAACTAAATAGTTCAGTTATGTCAATAAGCTGGATCAGAGCAAATAAATGTCTTTTTAATCCACATGTACTTCACAGGGGCTTTTACAGATCCTGCTGGTAAGCGATCAAAACAAGTGTGGACTCCGCTGTGAGTTTGAGGTACAGTCTGTGGCTCTGACAATGGTTTGGTCTGTATGGTGCTGTGCCAGTCAGTGCTCAGGTTACAGTATGTGTGGCCGGTGCTGTTGACCCCATCGCACACTACACATCTGTATCCTGGAGGCCTTTTCTTTAAAGGAACGCGGTTACAGTAATGAATTAACAGTGTTGTCGGTGTGAGTCACTGGAACCTGCATGGATTTCCTTATCAACCTGACTTTATGTTGGGCAGTCGGGTATACAATGTGACTGTACATGATCCACTCAGGAAACTGTGTCTGTATCAGTGTGCGTCTGTCTGTCTGCGGGTGTGTGCATTTGTGTTTGTGTGTCTTACAATTGTGCACAATGCTAACCTTTAAAGCAGAATGGTGAGAGAGAGGGTCTGGGCAGATTATCTGGGCTGAAGGACAGCTTGATGGCGATTTTCAGGGAAGCGTTCTGTCAGATAACTGCAGTGGGCTGCCACGTGCCAGGCTGCAGTGGGGCTGTGTGGGGGTGTGTAAATGAGGATGTTGCCTTGTGCGTTTCTCTTGGTGACGTACAGAGAGCTGTGCTAGAGTCTCAGCTGTATTGTGCGAATTGGCTTTGAGGTACTGACGTCACAGAAGCTGAACTGCAGTGAGGAACAAGTCACTATGGTTACAGCTGTGATCGGTGCGGAAAGACAGTGTACAGTGTCAGAGGGTTAACAGCCACGTACTTGTACACCGACTGCTGAACAGATAGTAAGTTGTGTCTCTATGTTAGGGGTACTACATTGATATTGCGGAGAGCATGATTATGGATGTTTTTTGATGTGTTGCATTGGGAGCCTATGTTGCCAAACTACAAATCTGCAGTTTACAAGGTAGTTTGCAGTGTTTCGACTGTTGTTCGGTGTCTGGCTGCTGAGCTGTATTGCTGGTGAGTGTTGGGTGTGATGATGCGGGAAGCGGTGTGGGTGTTGTCGTTGTGATAGTCATAACCAGCTCCTCTGTCTGCCTGGTCAGTTGGTCATCGTCATCCGGCCCCCCCATCCCCTCCCCGCTTGCTAACTCACTTACATTCATACAGACAAACTCACTTACATACAAACACTCAGAGCACAGTTAGGAACACAGAAATATATAACACGGGAGATGGTCATTCAGACCATAGTGTTTTTGCGGTTCCTTTAAGAGCAGGAACTATTGCGGTTCTTGGTACTGGGCAGTGAGATGGGAAATTGTGGTCTAAATAGTGTAAGTGATTCCTGCTGGAAAGCTCGAGCCCAAGCTGGTGTATAGTTGCTGTGTGAAGTGGATGAACCTATTAGCATCTCATCCTGTTGTCCTCATCAACAGTCCTCCAGATAAATTTGTTAGTCTGTTTGTAGGAGTTTTCTCTGTGTAAATGACTGCCGTGCTGCCAATAGAAAGACACAGTACATGTGATGTTGATTACTGATTACTGCACCTTCTAGCACTATTAAAAACCCAAGTTCTTTCTTGATGAGATGTTGTAGCATACTTCAGTCCCATGGGGCTGGTGTGCTGATGTAGTCACAGAGCTTAGATTAATGTATGACACTTTGGATTAATATGTACGATCCTACAAAGCAACCTCCCCGTGACGCACACAGCTCTCCAGTAAATGTGGTCCCATCACATTTAACTTGCTGTGATCGTCATTTCCGGGCATTCCACATCACAAAAATTAGTAGGATCAGTCCCTGACACTGGGTGTGCGGTTCAGTTATAATAATAATCGTTGCATTTGATATAGCGTCTTATCACATTGTTGATTCACTTGGTGGCTTTGTGTTTCCTACCGTAACTTTGCTGTAATACTGAGGTTCTCTGCTGCTCCAGGTTTGCTTTGTATGAAAGTTCTCCCAGTTGTGTTGGAGCTTTACAGCCAAAGTCATAGCCTGAAGCTCTCAAACTGCTCATAGCAATGTGTTTTCCAATGTGTGAGGTGGGGGGCTCAATAAGGTTATTGAAAGCTAATCTGTTGTTGTCATCTACAGTAAATTTATCAAAGAGTTTCACAGTTTTGTGAACATCAAATAACAACCACAACTGACAGTGTTACGCTCCCCAGCATTGAGAGCTGAAATTGGAGCATCAGCATAGACTATATGGCTTCAGAGTCCCAATGTGGGGCTTGAACCCACCTTTTGACTTGGAGACAAAAGTGCTACCAACCAAGCCGGACTGATGCACTAGATCCTGTGAAAGGCTTTGAGACGTCCTTCCGATGTGAAAGGCACTGTATCAAATACATGGATTATTATGATTTAATGTGCCCGGTTCTGTTTTGGACGTGTTGAACTGGAGCTCTGAGCTGGTGAGGATGAATGGAAAGTTTTTGTTGACAACAGCTGCCTCGATATAATCGGTCAATTAGAGATTTTTTTTCTATTTTTATTATGTTTAGTGAACAGGTGTGCAGATTGTGAGTATATCACTGACATTGTTACAGTGCAAGAGGCCGGTAAGTTCCTCGAGGACCGGTTAGGACACAATCTTCTACACAGACTAGGATCGGCCTCCTCCCACAATATAGAATAACTGACTGCAGTGAGTGTTCGGAGGTGATGATGAACTTCTCAGGATTAATGTGCCTCTGATACACCAATGTTTTCAGCTTTCCGGGTGAAAATGTGAAGCCATTATTGTGATGTGCATAACAGAGTGTAACTGAGAAGCGCAACAGTGGATGGGAACTGAGTTATTGAGAAGCTTGAGCACAGGAGTCAGGTTTCACAAGATTGGTGTGTTGGGATGTCCTTCCAGTTTAAAAGGTACAACTAAACAACAGCTAAATGCCTACATTTGTCGTTGCTGTGGTCTGGATGAAGAGGGTCCTTCGGTCTATCCAATCTCCACTCCCCCTCTCCCCCACTCCTGCCCCTCATCATGGCATCAAGCTGCTTTACAAATGAGTACTAGTGGCCTGGCCTCCACTACCTGCCCTGTAATTCCCATTTTCATCTCTAAACGCATATGCTCTTTGTTCTCCTGTCTTGTTACATCCTAAAGTATTGTGATTGTCATTCGTTTCTCTGCACCCGTTTGCTTCAAAAGTAAGTTCTGAGCAGAGAAGTTGGCAGCAGTTAATAGAGCACAGCATGCCTGTTATCCTCTTAAACCCAGGAATGTCCTAGCTGAGCTACAGTAGGGGCTGTGGCAAGTTGAGTATAATAATTGGCCAGTTTACATTGATTATTTGTCTAGAGAAGAAGCTTTTCAAGTCCAAGCCTCACCTTTTTCTGCTGTTTTAAGGAAACAAGAATAAGATTTTTCAAAACACAGTCCAGAGTTGGGTGACTGCCCAGATCTCAGAGAGAACGTGACATTTTGGAATACTTTTGCCTTCTATTTTTTTATTTTTACCACTTGGCCAGATTTACATACCACGCTTAGGCTTTATATTGTCTTGTGGTTTGTAATAGTTTCAATTATGGTGAGGATTTTGGCTTGAATGAGCAATATGTTGGGAGACAGAGGGTGGCTTCCTCTCTGAGGAGAGAGAAAAGCAAAGGAAGCCGGGGAGTATTGCTCCGGAGGTCCAGTGTGTGGGTGAATTGACTCAATCGCAGTGGGCAGAACATTTCACTTTCTCTACAAGTCCACGAAGGGCAGGTTTTATGTAGTTTATGTATATCGTGGCTGACAGCCCTTCCTTCCATTTTATCTGTGTATCTGCCTGACTGCACGTGTCTCTCTCATCTGTCCCTCCTCATCGGCCTTCCCAACTCTTCCCTTCACAAGCTGCAGATCATCCAAAACTCTGCAGCTCGTGTACTCTCGCGCACCAGGTTCCACGACCCCATCACTCCCACCTTCGCCCGACTCCACTGGCTCCCCATCCCCCAGAGGATCAAGTTCAAGATCCTCGTCCTCACTTTCAGGGCCATCCATTCTACTTTCCACCCCTTCCACCTCTCTGTCCTGCTGACTTCCTACCAACCTGCCCGCTCCCTCAGTTCAGCAGGCTCTGGCCTGCTCCATGTCTCCCGCCCGACCCGTCCTACCATCGGTGGCCGGGCTTTCAGCTTCTCTGTTCCCACACTCTGGAACTCCATCCCACAGTCCCTTCACCTCACTTTCTCCCTTGCCTCCTCTTCGATCGTGCCTTCAGTCGCCTCCCACCTCTGCCTTCCCTCAACCCTACCCCACCCCTTCCCCATGCTCGGGTCCTGACCCCTGACTGTCCAGCGCCTTGGGATGTCCTCCTGACATGAAAGGCGTTCTATAAATATAATTTTGTTGTTGTTCTGAGTGTGTATGTGTCTCTGTGTATTTATTTCTCTTTCCTTCTGTTTGTGCGTGTGGGGTGTCTGTGTGTGAGTGTGTCTGTGTTTGTGAATCGCTCTCCCTGGATGTGTCTGTGTATGTGCTCATTGCATAATTCATTTAACTTCATTTTTATGACAAGGGATAAAAAGGAAAACAACAAATACTAAAAAATGAGCCTGTGTACTGGACCTGTTGGGTGTGTCCCTTCACCGGCCCGCTCTCTGCAGACTGTGTACTTACCTACTTTACCTGAATTCCTGATGAAGTGTTCTGATGAAGGATCACACTGGAAGACCTTTCTCTTTCAGAGACTATTTGATCATTTGTTCATTTCCAGCCACTTCTGGTCTCAGTAAGTTTTTAAATGTTTAACACATGTCTTATACACATGTAAGGTCAACAGATCAAGTGTGGAAATCTACTGGAGGAGCCTTAGTGCAGAAACACCAGTACAATGATTGAAGACTTTCCTGTAAGGCGAGGAGATTGCCAGGCCTCTGAAGACATTTAGTGGAGACGGGCACTGAGCATTTCACTCCTTTTCCACCTTTGTCAACACTTTATCATCTGCAGTTCAGTCAGAAACACTCCAGGTTGATATTTGAGTAGCTGAGACCCTAATGATAAGATCAGCCTATTGCAATGTAAGGGACATGACTGTCATTGTCGGTTTCCTGTAGAAATCTACACACATCAAACATTGTATTTCAAGCCATAAGTATGAGCGTAGCTTCTAATAGTGCCTCCTCCCCACCTCCCCCCGGGCAAGGCAGATAGATACACACAGGCTCTCGGCCATAACAATACAGGATTTAATGTTGTAAAAACAGTGACACAACATAGCCACGGAAAGGTTCAGTTACCTGAGCTCCCGGTCTGTGCTATCAATCCCTCTTATGTTCCTCAGCCCATGCCACAACCTTGTGGCTGAGGACATGTGCCCGGGCAAGTCAGTGTCCACTCTCCAACCCTGAGCCCATAGAAACTGATGTGGGCACAGAATTAAGAAGGTGCAGGCTTTATCACTTTGAGCCTCCCTCACCTTACTCTCGAAGATGTTCACGTCCGATGCAATAGTAATAATTCTGACATTTGATACCGAGCGTTTCACATGGGTAGGAAGTCACAAAGCACTTCACAGGAAATTATGTACTTTGTAGGCAATGTTCTTCAATGGAATAAATAATTGTTCCATTGGCACTTGCAGCCTTGGGTTCAATGGTGTGACTTGTTAAACAGTACTTGCCAGCTTTTTATTCAGTGACTTCTGTTTTTGTTTTTATCTTTCGGTTAATTTGGCACAATTGGGAAACAAACAGGTGTCAGTGAACAAAGGGGGTTACAGGTTAGCACTGCGAATGGTCTCACTGCTCCTGGGCAAACAGCAGCCGGAATAGTCACTGCCGTCCTAATCACTCACTTGATGGCTATATGTGGGACATCACTATGTGCAAATTGGCTGCTGTGTTTACCTATAATATACACAGTCCTTGCATTTCCCAGTTAAACATTCTGTAAAAGCTGTTGAGCTATGTTGACACCTTCATAAAACTATATCAAATTCAAGAATTATTTATTACTTTTTCTCCTACGAAGCATGTGGGTGAGGACGAGATTGGCCACAGTTGAGACATTTCCCACCCAAGGTAGCACAGCTGCCTTGTTCACACTTGAAGAACGGCGGTTTGAGGGAGGGACCAGGCTTCACTGAGGAGAGGAGGCAGAAAGAGCACGTAGTGAGACAAACCCTGTGCTTGTAACGTTCTCATCAAGGTAAACACAGGGAAAGTGGTGCTAAGTTCACGCTATCTGTGCTCTTGTGGGGGAGGGGAACGGTTTCCCTCACTGCTGTTCTCACCAGCTGTGCAACTCATTTGCTGCTGTGCGTTATTCATGCCTTGTGAGTTAAGTCATCATCGGTCTTGATCCAGTACGTTTTCCGTCGCTGTAAGATCAGTTACAGTGATGTAATTGCAGAATTCTGTGTGTGTATGTGTGTGTGGGAGAACCAATATTGACAACCCCTATGCGATCGTCTCATGTAAATTAAGCTGGAGCCTGCTTATACCTTCAGCAAAGAGTAGACTTAATGCAAATCTACAGCTACTTTTCTAAACTGTTTATACAACAACAACAACAACAAGATTCCATTTATAAAGCGTGTTGAGTGTTATTGCTAATTTTGTTTAAAATGACTGGTGCCCAGACTGCAGATCAACTGGTGGACACATCAGCTAAAGTCAGAGTGGTCTACATGAGGGAAGCATAGAGAATGTTTTAGCACAGGATGTGGGTCTGAGCCCCTGCATCACCTCAATTATTAATCCCACTTTCTCACTCTCTTCACACCCCTTATTGTCTTTACAGCTCAGGTGTTTATCTAGTTCCCTTTTGAAGGAACAATGCCCCGAATTAAGACACTTCTAATCTCTTCCCTAGTGTTCCTGCTAAAGACCCTGAAACTAAGTCCCTTTGTCACCAATTCCACAACTGAAGCAATTAGTTTTATACTTTCCCTTGTTGTGCCGCTTCAGAATCTTGATGTGGGGGACAGATACACAAGTGACTATAGGTGAGGTCCGGGGCAAAAACTATCTGAGAAATGGAGAATAGACAGAGGCAATTGACCGGGATGACACCAGGAATAGGGCACTGTACAGGTATGAAGAGACTAGTTATATTGGGGCTTTGTCTCCCATTGAAATGTCACCATTAATGGCTATTGAGGTTGGATTGAGTGACTTCACTGAAGGGATCTAGATAAAGCCCTGAACAGTGAAACATTAAGGGGATGTGGGGTAAGAGATGATCACACAGGTAACATTCAGGTGAATTCTTAAAGCATTCAAGTTGCTCTTTCCCCCTAAACGTCCATGTGTATTTGCAGTGCACTGACTGTGGAAGAATGGAGCCAATGGCCGTCAGCAGTTCCGCTTATCAATCCGGCGACGAGGAGTTTGACAGGAATGGCCCGCGAATCTGTGGTGTTTGTGGGGACAAAGCAACTGGCTTCCATTTCAACGCCATGACGTGTGAAGGCTGCAAAGGCTTCTTCAGGTGAATTGATCTTCAGATGCCATTGGTGTCGTGTGGGGGGGCGTGTCCTGTATCCAGCCTAAAATATCAACTTGCAACCAAAGTTTTTCTTTCCTCTCCCAGCTGAACAGGACTTGGGCAAATGTACGACTTAGGTGATTATACGATTTATACAGATCAGGTTGTGTTGGGGTGTACACAGTACAGGCACGAAACATGATGCACACTCAGAATTTATTTTAGGGCTGACTGTCTGATTGGAGATGTTAGAGATGCACCAGAAAAGGAACCCAATAGGGTGACAGATATTCATGGGCTTAAACCGCAGCTCAACGTGACTGACAGTGAATGTGACTGCATTTGGCTTTGATTCAACAATCTTTTATGAGAATAGTGTCCTTGTATTCAGCTAGTTATTTATGGACATGGCCTGACTGTAGCTTCTCTTCTGGAAGTGATTGAGTTTCCTCGAAGCCTGAGGAGGTGTTTGTCTTTCATTTAACAATTATCAAATTGCACCTGGTTTAGTGGCTGGAAATGCAGAACATCAAGCACATGGAGTTGCTTCATTCCCCTGAGCGACTGAGTCTGTGCATTACATTGGCTAAGCAATCTCTTAGCACAAGCTTGGTCAGGACCAGTTGTGAGTGTCTGTCAGACACTCTGCTGGATTCTGTACTTGAGCCAAAGAGATGGTAATGCACTTGTGACCATCACTAGTTAGTCAGAATGTGTGACAACAACTGATCCGCAGATTTGTTGTGTGACCGACATGATTTCTCACTCCGGCAGCCAATGGGATTTCTTATTCCACTGATTTCATAGAAATTTACGCGCAGAAAAGAGACCATTCGGCTCATCAAGTCTGCCCCAGCTCTCAGAGCAAGGTATTCATTCCCGCTTTATTCCCACATTCCTTCAGCCTCTATCCTTCACTCAGGACTGTATCTGAATGAATTACTGTCACTTTCTCTCTCCATCGCCTTCTCTGTAGGAAAGTTGCGTCATTCAGGACCTTAAGATTGTTACTTTTAGCAATTGTTGGTGTGTGTCTATCCCTCATCGCTCTGACACTCTGGTCACATTTCCTGACCAATGTATTTATTTGTTGGATGTTGGGAAGTTGTGACCTCGTGTCCTCGCACCGCTCACAGTCCTGGTGCTGACGGCTGGATTGCTCACTGCACTAATACTCCTGTTTCTCCACAGGAGAAGTATGAAGAAGAAAGCCACTTTTACCTGTCCTTTCAACGGCAACTGTGCAATTACAAAGGATAACCGACGGCATTGCCAAGCCTGCAGACTGAAGCGATGTCAGGACATTGGCATGATGAAAGAGTGTGAGTGACAGGGGGTAGGCGGGGGTTGGAAGCGGGGCAGAATGTGAGGTCAGTTGATTTGTTTTTAAAGATGAAATCTCAAATATTCAGTGATGAGCAGAATCCAGTAATGAACTGTGGCTTATTGGACAATAACACGGTCGGTGTGGATGTTGCTATGAGGTGACATTGAGTGCTGTGTGCAGCAGGGTCTGTCTCCACATAGCACAGTCACGTCAGTCTGTGATTCGTTGCTTTTCTGCTGGCTCATTGCTTTCCAAATAAACCTGATTTACACTTAGCTTTTCAATCAAAAAAACAAACTCACACTGTTGGTGTGGATTCTCAGAGCAGCAAGCTCCTGAACTGCAGGAATGGAGAATTCGTGCCCCATTTACCTCGCCCTTTCCCTTGCCAAAGCAAAAGTCATCCCGTCACACAGATTCACCAGTAACTTGCCCTGATGCTCGTTTCCATACATAATGGACTCGAGATAACATTAAAATAATGCTTGCATTTGATACAGTGTCTTATCAGATCAAAACATCTCAAAGCACTTCACTGGTATTAATGGTTTTCTAGGCAAACGAAGCAGCCAATTTTGCATGTAGCAATGACCCGCAAACAGCCAGGTAAATGATCAATCTAACTGGGAGATTATTGGCCGAGTGAAATTCCCTCCTCTGAATGGTGTCAGGGGGACTTTAGCTTCACCTAAACAAGCAGACAGGACTTTGGTTTAACGTCTCATCCAAGCAATGCAGTATTGCCGCAGCACTGCATTTGAGTGTCAGCCTAGACTAAGGTCAAAGTCTCTAACATGCAACTCAAACAACAACAATAACTACTCACATTTATATTGCGTCCTTCACGTGGGGTAATGTCTCAGTGCACTGACCAATGGTAGAGTTTGATACTGAGCTGGAGAGAAAGGGCAGGGGTTGAAGAGAAGATCTTTATATGCAATTTGAAGACTGGTAAAGAGCGAGCAAGGCGGAGAGATTGAGACAGCGAGTTCTTCGGAATCCCCTCTGAAACATCTTTCACGCCCAAGCTTGTCTAACCATTGCTCCTAACTGGTCAGGGCTGTTGTGTCCGATCGATACCCCAGCATTTGGGGTTTTTAGTGTTGATGGAGCAGTTAGTAAGTACTTGTGTAGATAGTTAGTGGCTGCTGTGGGGGTGGCCTGTTGGTGCAGCTTGGTCCTGTTGTTGTGGAGTAGGAACCACTTTGATGGATTGAATGGCTTTTCCTTGTTCTGCGTATTCTTGTAGTTTCAGTGCTGGAGCTGTGCTACAACACGTCAGTCGGCCATGTCGTTTATTGCAGAAAACATTTGAATACAATGCTAGAATATATTGGACAGTTGGACTGGTGAATGCAATCTGTTTATTCAGACAGCTGTAAACGTCCATTTTCCTCACTCCTCCTCAGTGCTTCAGTCATGGTATCGTGCGTGTTGGCTGCGATTTGTTTCATGTTTGTCGGTCACGTGTTCACTGTCGGTCAGTCAGTCAGTCACTTGTGATGTGAATATTAAGTCGCATTAATTGAGCAGCCCCCGGAAGCCGGGATTGTTAGTAACGTTCGACACCAGCAGCTAAACAGACGTGGCCGAGCGGAATGCACAGTGCGGTCTAACTACATTCCTCAAAGATTGATGCTCAGTGTTTGCAGACAGAGCTCATGTGCCAGATATAGGCCAGAACTCTGGGAGATCGTGTGGGAGACTCCTTAGCCCAAAGGGCTCTGCAGATTTAGCTGCTGTTAAAAAGGTATTTGGCAGGCTGCTCGGAAAATAGTATTGCAATAGTATGTGCGCCGAGGGTGAGAGGCAGTGTGTAACATATACAAGTGGCATGTCAGCATATTCAGCATAACTGGATCCAAGAACTGGAAAAACATTGGGGTCTGGGCGAGATGTTTGTGAGCCAGGGGTGGCTGATAGCAGAACTCCAGTGAAGGTGCTTCTGGCACGAGGGGTAGTTAGTGTGCAGTGTATTTCCTGTCCAACACCTCCCCCGCAAGATTCTATTATTTGGTGAATAGACACAGTATAATGTACTGTTAGTGTATGTTTTCTTTTGGCGGCATTGGGTTAGCCCGGTATCTTGACACATGCGGAAAATCCATCTCCTCCTGATCCAGACCCCCAGCTTGGGTCCAGATCTTTAACTGTCCAGCGCCCTGGGACATCCTCCCGATGTGAAATGTCAGTTGTTGTTGTTGAAAACTGCCACACTGTGAGTCAGTATGAACTACCGGCTTTGGTTGGAGCCTCTCAGTCCCTGCTTCAAGCACATGCAAGCTATTGTTGTCTGAGTCGTCGTTGTCGTTGTGCATTAATAAATAGGTGTAAAGTACAGCAGCATGGAGGTGCTGATTCTGCAGTTAGTAGAGATTTATAGTAGCGAGTAGGTATTTTATGTAGAGATTTAAAGGTCTTCCTCCACTCTCCCTTACAGTTATTTTGACAGACGAAGAGGTTCAAAGGAAGAAGGAGTTGATTTTAAAACGGAAAGAAGAGGAGGCGATAAAGGAGGCAAAGAAACCGAGGCTGAGTGATGAACAAGAGAACCTGATTGCCTTACTGGTCGACGCTCACAGGAAAACCTACGATGATTCATATGCTGACTTCATCCATTTCCGAGTAAGTGTCGTGCCTGCATATGGCAGTGCCTGCTGTATAATAATAATAATAATAATAATCCTTGCATTTGATACAGCTCCTCATCACGTCTTCGAAACGTCTCAAAGCGCTTCACAGAATGGACTGTAAAGTGAATTGACTGTTTATTTGTGGGCAAAACGCGGCAGCCAATTGCACACAGCAGTGTCCCACAAACAGTTGTGGATTGACATGGCCAATTTTATTGTTTTTTTTTTCCCCTGAGGGATTATTATCAAGCGTGTGGAGTAAGGAAACTTGCTCAAGATTTCGCCTTGCCGGGATTCGTACCCTTGCCGTAATCTCTCGCTTGCGAGGCGAGTGATCTAACCACTGAGCTACAGGACTCCAGTATGTTATCCCTGTGTCACTGTCTCTCAGCCTGGGCTGGGGAGGCTATTTCAGGACAATCAGGAGGTGCAGCCTGAGCAGATTGAGCACGACTTTGAGGATTTGACCTGAACAGTAGCCATGCAAACACAACATCCTTTGCATTGACTTCTTTAGCATAACCCCATCTGCCGGATAAATAGTGTATTGCAGATAACTCTTTTTTGCAAGTCCTTAAAATACAACAACAGCTTGCATTTACTTTGCGTCCTTCATGCTGGTTGATGTCCCGAAGCTCTTCGTAAGAATCAACTTTTTTAATGCGGGGTCCACACTTCCACCACATCAGAGTTTCGTTCTTTTTCTCTGATTAAAAAGAGCGTAATTTCCTGAACCTGCTCCCGAAAATCACACAAAGCACTTCGCACAATATACCATAAAGTGTAGTGACTGTATATTTTTGTGGGCGATACATGGCAGCCAATTGTGCACAACAGTGTCCCACAAACGTAGATTGAATGACCAAATTATTATTATTTTCTAAATTGATTGACTCAGTGAATGTTATTTGCTGTGTTTCTCTAGCCTCCCGTGCGGATGGAGGACTCTAGCGAATATTCATCAGGTTCCTGCTCCATCCATTCATCACAGAGCCTTTCCTCAGAAGAACACTTTGATCCCTGCAACCCGTCCTCATCCGAGTCGCTCAGCACATTCCCAGGCAGGTTATATGTGTGTGTGTGTGTACGTGTGCATGCGTTTCTGCATCCCACGAGTGTGTGTGTGCTTCTGTAACCCTCCCTCCGTGCGCGTGTGTGTGCGCACTCATTGTGCATTTCTGCACAGCATTCGCTGTCCTCACATTCCTGTGTGTGAGGAAACGACTCCTGAACTCAGCTCTATCGGGTAGTTATGACAAGTCTCAGAATTAACCTACTCGGTGCTCGCTATCCTCTTTCTCAAGCACTGCTAAACATTGGGTGATGGACACGGTGTGAGTGGAAAGTAAGGATTGTATTCCCTTCAATCTGCATAGACAATCTGAGAATGTCGAGCTGCAGTACTGACGCTGAGATGCTGGAAGACCCCAATGGTAAGCCTGAGGAAGCCTCACCACTTACCATGCTGCCTCACCTTGCTGACCTGGTCAGCTACAGCATACAGAAGGTCGTGGGCTTTGCAAAGGGCATCCCTGGCTTCAGGTATGTTCAGTTACGTGGTCGGTGTCTGGGACGCCAGGTGTAGTGTCTGAATAAGTGGACATGATGTAGAAGGCGCTATATAAATGACATGTGTTGTTTTCGTTGGACGGTGATTATTGGTAATAATATTAACTGTATTGTTAATAATAAAGGTGCGGGTGCAATGCAAGTTTAAAGCATTAATAGAAAGCTGCAGTCACAAGCTGCTGAGCCTGTATTAATGTTCCTCAATCCCCAGGGAGTTATCATCAGATGACCAGATTGCCCTTCTAAAGTCGAGTGCAATTGAAATTATTATGCTGCGATCAAACCAGTCCTTCATGTTGGACGACATGTCCTGGTCCTGTGGAAACGAGGATTTCAAATACAAACTCCAAGACGTCACAAAAGGTAAATGTGCTTCTGAACGAGTTACTGTTCTTTATTGTATTGACCTGTTAAACGAGCAGTGAAGAGCTGCAGGTGAGAACCAGAGTCCCAGTGAGCAAATGGTATGAAAGGAAATAGCAAAGATTTATGTATCAAGAGAAAGAGCTCCTGAGAGTAGAGGTGGATTAGCTGAAAACTAATTGATGGGACCAGATAGGTTGGGGACCACAAAACAGCTGGTGTTTGCTGAGCTGGCTCGATGGGGTTGAAGGAGTTTGCCACAGCAAGGTGGGACGAGACTATGGAGACATTTGAAGAGCTGAGTGATAGGGAGCCACGGAAGCCAAGCAGGTGGCAATGAGGTGAGAGACACCACAAACCTGGTGTGGAAGAGGATCTGATACAAGATCTTGAAGGGTCACTAGAATAGCTTCTTGGATGACAGATGTGCCACGGTTCACCTTTTCCAATTGTGTCCTGCTAGCTGGCCATTCCTTGCAGTTGCTGGAACCACTTGTAAAATTTCAGATTGGTTTGAAGAAGCTGAACTTACACGAAGAGGAGCACGTGCTTCTGATGGCTGTCTGCCTGCTCTCCCCGGGTAAGAGATCACATAACGATACCAGGGTCTCAGCTGTTCATTACAATCCCACAGGCCCCGCACTGTCCAATACCTCAACCCATTGACTAGTGTCCATTGTGTCTGAGTGTGCATGTGAGTGAGTGTGTGCGTTCCCGCAAAATACACCTTCACTACACTTTACTGTAAATCCTATGAAGCACTTTGACCCGACCTCCTGACATGAAAGAAAGGTTCTGAATCGAATGCAACTATTATTATTATTAGAAAATCTGAAGTCTTCGTCTTAAAATGCTTTGATTTTGTTGGATGCTGTCCTGTTACTGACGGGCTGTGCTGTTGCTGATGGGCTGGCCTTGTGTTCACAGATTGGGCTGTGCTGTTGCTGTGCTACGCTGTTGTTGACAGGATGTTGTTACTAATGGGCTGTTGCTGTGCTGTTACTGACGGCTGTGCTTGTGTTCACAGATCGGGCCGGGGTGCAGGAGCGTGCTCAAGTGGAGGCCATTCAGGACCAGCTCTCTGAGACGTTGCAGACGTACATTCGGGTCAAACACGTTCAGCCGGGAAGCCGCTTGCTCTACGCAAAGATGATTCAGAAGCTGGCTGATCTCCGCAGCCTGAACAACGAGCATTCCAAAGAGTACCAGTTACTCGCCCTCCAGCCCAGCCATTGCCTGCAGCTCACCCCTCTGGTGCTGGAGGTGTTCGGCAATGAGGCTGATCACTGAGGTCCTGGCTGGTGTGTGTGCAGGGGCAGGTCTGCTCACACAGATCACGTCTGCGCTGGTCTGCGCAGTGTAGGTGGAATGACATCAGGACTGATTTAAAAAGAGAGCGACCGGGAAGGTTTTGCATTCGGTGTATCTGTGCATTGAGGGGCGAGGGCTGGTGGGTCTGAATGACCAGGGATTGATTAGCAACACCACTTGGGTTACAGCATCTCGTAGATCTTTTTCATCCATTACTCGACTGATTTTTTGAAACAATGAACCTGGTTTTAACAGCACAACAGAATGTAATCCACCTTTACCTGGTCCAACACCCCCCCCCCCCCCCGAACGAGGCTCTTTTTAAATCAAGAGTCGCCATTTTAAGACATGTTGTACCTGTCTGAGGCATCGAGTCCTTCAACTTGCACTGTTCAGGCCGAGAGAATTGAAATGAGATCATGTTACTGGCGACTGAGCTGCTGGGCCGTGTACCCGCCTCCTTTACTCTTAGCAACTTACCTACAGCTCAGAGGGAAGGGGATGGGGGGGGCAGTTGTGTCTTATACTCAAAATACAGGTGTATGGAAACTATCCTGCCGTGCAGTCTAATACAGTACAGCTTGTCTCTTGCGCTGTCTGCACCTACACCTACCGTCTACAGTTCCACAAGGTTTGGTGTTGAGTTGTGCTGCCCGCAGCCCCACCACCCCCCCCTCCCCCCGCCCCCATTTGCCTGAGTCAGTCAGGTTGCTATACAATAGAAGCCTTTTTATGCCCTTAGTGTTTTGGAAGCAAGTCTTGTTGTTTCATACTCAGGAAACCAGCATTCCCTTCAAGAGCTTTCATGCCAAAAAAATAAATCTTTGGACAATCTGGTTAGACCGGTGCAGAGACACGGTGCTTATAGCCTCAGCCTGTGGGCAATCACCTGTGGGCAGCACAGAGCTCAGTCACACAGCACAGAGAAGCCTGTACAAAGGGATTACTAGGATATCTTAACATGAGAGATAATCACAGACTCCCTGCCCTGTTACACTAATCCTGTCTGGTTTTATGTGTGTGTGGGAGTGGCGGTGGGAGGGAGCACTACACCCAACTTCATAGCTGGTATTTAAACTAAGCAAAAGTGATGATTTTTACTGCCTTAAATGTATGCAATAGATGGTAAGGAATTAGTGAGCAACTGTATATAAGTGACATGATATAAAGAGAATGCATTTAAATTGGATAAATTAACAAGCGGCACTTATTGGGAAGAGGTGAAATGTCGGGCAATATTACGCAAAAGGTTTAATGGTTGTAAATGGTTGTAATTTGTAGATCTCATCGCTAGAGTTGCGATGTTCATTGATCAGGTCAGGTTCAGGTAAGCACTGGTATACACAGTACAGGAGTGACAGCCTTCCACACAACACAGCATAGTATTTGTACAGGGGACATGCGTGCAGAGTGTACATGTACATACCTCGCATGTTTGGCATTAGCTGGAGATGTTAGACATACAGAATGGCCTTGTCAGTACTAGCCCTAGTCGCCAGGTTTCCTCTCGCTGTGGCTGAGTGCTGCCTTCCTCTGAAACCTCTGCTATGGAAATAATTACCAAATGGAATAAGAATACAAATCTATATTTTGTAATGTACAGTTTTAGCTTCATACACAAATACAAATATATTTTGCAGAGTTATTAATGAGAAATATTATTGCATTATTTTGATAGCCGCAAAATGCAGTTGTTTGTGAGCTGGGTGTTTGTGTTACGTGTAGTATTCTGGTATGGGTGTGAGCTGTGTGTGTGTACGTGTGGTATTCTGGTGTGGGTGTGAGCCTGTGTGTGTGTGTACGTTTGATGTTCTAGTGTGGGTGTTTAGGTGTGGGAGAGGCTGTTGTTAGTCAGGGCACATTGTATCAGCTTTTCCAAGCGCAGTGAGTGTTTGGCAAAGAGTACGTTCCTAAGGCTGATCCCAGACTGGTACAGGGAAGGGGAACACTTTTCTAGACTTACCTCTTTGATTGCACTTTCAGTCATCTTCCCAATGTGAAGTACGAGACTCCCAGCATCAGCCCTTCTCAATGGCCGTTTCTGTGCCAATGTCTGTTAGGTGCCACCTTCAAAAGCTTCTTAATTCTATATATGTGCCGGTGCTATTGTTTGGCACATTCCCAGCCTAGTGCCTAACATTACTACTGTTGAGCTCTTTGAAATAGTCTGATGTAAAGGAGCTTTCAGAAGTTGGAGGTAAAAGGCATTGCACGGTGCCAGCTGGTGTAATGATGAAGGAAATGTACTTATACTTTGCACAAGAGAGGATTAGTCAGTGGATTAGTGTTGAGGTGAAGTGTGGAGTTTTTCCACTTGTGGATGCAGGACTGTGTTGGCTGTAATACTGGTGTTAGTGCCTAACTCAGTGAGATAGCCTGGGAACTGTTTTGATGGAGCTGTGTTTCTCCGTTACTGACTATTGAGATGGTTTTCTCCAGCCTCAGCTTTTGTGACTGTCAGGAAGCCAGTGATTGGTATCTCCAGTTATTGCATCTTATTTTGTTTTATTTTACAGATGAACCTCATGGATATACTGGACGTTTCAGTATAATATTGTTAGTGAGCAGTCACTGGCCCAGCAAACAATAAGCTTTAGATTTGTGTCAAGGGGTCACTAGGTGTAAACGGGTTTTGTGTCTAACTAACTTCCCCTTGTGAATATATTACACCTGGCCCAGGGCATCAGTGTGACGTGCTTTACATCTATCTCTGCCAGTGTCAGGCTGATACACAACCACTCAGTGTTCAAGTCAATCATTGTCTCATCCCGAAGGGGAATCTCTTCACTCTCCACTCAGTGTCAGACTGCCCATTACTCTAGATGTTGTTTGTAGGTAGTGTGGCCCCAGATATCTGCAAACCTCTTTAACTCCGAGTAACTGAACTGAGAAGCAGGAACCCGAGGATTCTCTGGTTAAGGTGACAAAGACATTAGGAATAATAAATTCTCTTTGTAACCTCAAGAATGCCATTTTGTCAGGACCACGGAATGTTAGTTCAGTTTCCCCTAGAAACACAGCGCCTAAGAAAACGCCAATCAGCTTCCAGAACTACCGACCAGCAAGTTGTGGTTTGAATGTCTCCAAGACTTGTGGTTGATTGACAGGCTTATTCCAATATTTATCCTTCTGAGACTATTTTCCCGCGATCTATTCTAAACCTGTTTGTTGTCCTGCCAACTCTGCCCTCTGTTCCTCAAGGTGTTTGCCTGCCTCTCGAGTGGATATTGTTTGTTGTGAGCAGGGACTGGGCGTCACCACACTCTCTGGCAGCTAGTTTGTTAGTGAGCGAGTGGGTGCTGCACAGAGCTTGTCTTGCTGCACAGGCTCATTGTGGCTCTGGTTGTCACTGAGTAAACTGTGAGCGATCGAGTAAGCAGTCGTCTAAAGGTACTTGACTCTCCTTTGTCCTGCTTCCCTGCTGGGTTGTGCTGCTGGATAGAGCTCAGCACAGGAGTCTGCAATACGAGAGCAGGTTACACACCAACACGTGCATTAACCACATAAGAATATACGAAATATATATATTTAAAAATATGCTGTGAAACATTTTTGTCTTGTATGATAGAGGTTTTATTCTGGTGCACTTTATAACAAAGATAAATGAATCTATTCTATGAATTTAATAAATTTTCCTGCTTTCTCTCCATGCCCCATCCCTGGAATTTGTGTTCCCCACCCACACAGCAAGCAATGTGCTGCATTTGTCCTTGATGTAGACTTTCAAGTAATGTTAATTATATTGTGTGAATAGGCAGGTGACTTATAGAGTATTCTAACCTTCAAACCGACTATACATTTACCTCATCAGCAGTAACACTATGTATACAAATACATGAGATCAATTCCCTTGAGTACAGTCACCTGAGCTGTGAGCTGGACAATCACACACCTCAACAACAACTTGCATTTATATAGCGCTCTTCATGCGGGGTAGTGTCCCGGGGCGCTGTACAGTCACACATATCTCCTTGAGCACAAACCAAAGGATTCTGTAGATCTCTGATATTGGCACTTTAACCTCCGCCCTGAGACGTCGCAATGTTTAGCGCTGAACACGTCCATTCAGATACAGTTTAATACAAAGTCCTCACACCCTTGACCCATTCCTGCCAAGAGTTGGAGCTTGGAGCTCAGCTAACTTCCTCCATACAGTACAACAACAACTAGCATGTATATAACGCTCTTGACATGGTGTAGCGTCCCAGAGCGCTCCATACAGTGACCATGTATATTATCACAGTTGTGCCATGGGATCACCTTTCCTTGTCTGAGACCTGTAGTTACATTGCAGTTCCAGACTCTGGTCGTTAAATGGTTTTGCTGCTCAAATCTTAGGCCTCAGTGTTAGTCTCTGTTCCCTTTCCCAGTGCTTGATATGGGGACTAGTCTCTGGCAGCAGCATGTAATCCTCATGCCTCACCTTGCCCTGTGAGATCCTGGCTATTCACTCTTTCCCTTCATCAGCTCTCAGTGGATGTAATTCATTAAGTGTCCTTGATTCCTTTGCCTTAACCTGTCTCATGCTGATGTTAGAAGCCAGAACTCATCAGCCACTGTTCTGCATTATGTGGTCCCACTGAGGACCTTGTTGGCTTTCCTGTGCTTGCTGTTTAGTTGCTGTGAGGACCACGGGATACTGGGACGTGCATTGAGACAAGCACTCGGAAACGGTTCCAGTTTTCAATCAATGGCCTTCGGCTGTGTCTGGTAACATATGAACCTTTAGCCCATCCTGGTCAGACATTGGGTCAGAGGACGATATTGTCAGTGTCATCTTAGGGGTGAGTTAAACCCTCCCACCCGGGAATGTGGTGAGCTGGGCCTCACAGCCTGGCCTTGCCTCTATCACTGCTCCCCACTAGCCTTACATTTGGCCTCGGCAACACCAGAGCAGAGGGAAAATCAGCCAAGTTTGTAAACATAATTGTTATCCTTTGGATCTTGTAAGTGGAGACATGTTAGTGAGGATGGCATTACACTGTAAGCTGTGAAACAGCCCATCAACACTCACTGTTTGGACTTGCACTGTATCCTGGCATGTCTGCACCTTTAGAAGAGGGGGTGGGGGGGAGATTGGGGGGGGGTTCAGGAGTACCGATGTACAGAATGTCTGTATAACAGAGCAGAGATTGCACGATCTCACTGCTTTCTGGTGGGACTGAGTTTGACTCTGAAACCTATTAAATTTATATTTGAAATGTTGGGAGTCTATCTATGTGTGAAACATATAACCTCACCATCTTAAAGCACAGCTTCAGTTCAACAATGATATATTTTCTGTTCAGATTTTTTCACATTTTAGTCCCAATGTATTGTTCCTGTATTTTATCCTTTTACAGCTGTGGATCGCTCGGTGGCCGGTTAGTCAGCGGGTTGCTGGGTGTGTTTTGTTGGGTGTTACACTTTGCTGAGTGCGGTGGAATATTGGGCACCAGTAGGGCAACGGGCAGTTGGTCAAGCTGCCCAGCTCCCTCCATCGCTCTGCTGGGTTGGCTCTGGTCCTGCCGGCACTCTGTGATGGTGACTGTTGATTGGGGAAGCTCAGCTCTGTGATTTGAGCCAGCTTCATTTTGTTAATTTAAAACCAATCTCCTTTTCGACAAACATGTAATTGCTCAAGTCTGTGTTCTGTTTTATTGTGAAAAGAATTATTGTACAGAGAATGTAATTTTAAACTATTAAAGATATATGAAATATTCCTTTCATCGACCACACTCGGTTTTAATGTTCCGTTTCCCTGGGGTTTGAACTTCTGCACCTGCCTGTGCCGGGTCGAAACGTTGGGCAAGTTTCCTTACTACACACACAAACACCTCTCTGTTTATCAGCGCTAAGTAGGAACCCAGTTGTTAGGCGATGGGTGGATCGTTTTTCGAGGGTAACAATCCCTTCAAATAAAAAAAATTGGGTCACTCAGTCCACGACTTTGTGGGACATTGCTGTGCGCAATTGGCTGCTACGTTTCGCCCACAAAATATAGTGTATCCTGTGATGCGCTTGGAGACGTGATAAATGCCAGGACTATTGCTATACTATTATAATTATATTTATTATTATAGTATATATATTATTGTGCTATATTATATTGTTATCTATTATGTCCTATATTATATTATGTTATATATTATATATTTTATTAAGCTATTATATATTATATTATGTCATATGTTATATTATGCTATTATATGATATTATGTTATATATTGGAGTCCTGTAGCTCAGTGGTTAGAGCACTCGCTTTGCAACCGAGAGACTTGAGTTCAATCCCCGGGGGGTCAGTCAGGGCCAAACCTCGGGCAAGTTTCCTTACCCCACACAGAGCCTAATAATAGTCCCTCCAAAACCAAAAACAATAATAAATTGGTCATTTTCAATCTACGACTGTTTGTGGGACATTGCTGTGCGCAATTGGCTGCCGCGTTCGCCCACAAATATACAGTCAATTCACTTTACAGTGTGTTCTGTGAAGCGCTTTGGGACGTCCTCCCGATGTGAAAAGCGTTATATCAAATGCAAAGATTATTATTATTATATATAATATGTGAAGATGTTTATTGTGTGGATCGGCGTCACGTGACTCGGGGGCGGCCCGAACCGGCGTCACGTGACGGCAAACGAACGTCATTATGACGTACCCTACGTGGTGACGACATCACGCTGCGTGCGAAACTATGGCGGCGGTGCGGCTGCTGCGGGTGACGGGAGCCTCGGCGGCCATCAGACCATCAGCCCCGACACCGGGGCCCCCGGGCACCGCCCCGCCACCGCCACCGCCCGGCGCTGTGAGTCACCCCGCCCGGGGGGGGGTGTGTGGGGTGGGGGCTGTGTGGTGGGGGTGGGGGCTGTGGGGGGGCTGTGGGGGGGTGGGGGCTGTGTGTGGGGGGGTGGGGGCTGTGTGGGGGGGTGGGGGCTGTGTGGGGGCTGTGGGGGTGGGTGGGGCTGTGTGGGGGGGTGGGGGCTGTGTGGGGGGTGGGGCTGTGGGGGGGGTGGGGGCTGTGTGGGGGCTGTGTGGGGGGTGGGGGCTGTGGGGGGGTGGGGGCTGTGTGGGGGGGTGGGGGCTGTGGGGGGGGTGGGGGCTGTGTGGGTGGGTGGGGGTGTGGGGGCTGTGGGGGGGGGTGGGGGCTGTGTGGGGGGTGGTGGGGGCTGTGTGTGGGGTGGGGGCTGTGTGGGGGTGGGGCTGTGTGGGGGGTGGGGGCTGTGTGGGGGGTGGGGGCTGTGGGGGGGTGGGGGCTGTGTGGGGGGGTGGGGGCTGTGTGTGGGGGGTGGGGGCTGTGTGGGGGGGGAGTGGGGGCTGTGTGGGGGGGGTGGGGGCTGTGTGGGGGTGGGGGCTGTGTGTGGGGGTGGGGCTGTGTGGGGGGTGGGGGCTGTGGGGGGGGGTGGGGCTGTGTGGGGGGGTGGGGGCTGTGTGGGGGGGGTGGGGGCTGTGTGGGGGGGGGTGGGGGCTGTGTGGGGGGGTGGGGGCTGTGTGGGGGGTGGGGGCTGTGGGGGGGGTGGGGGCTGTGTGGGGGCAGGAGATGGGGGTGTTTTGACCTGTGTGTGTGTGTGTGTGTGTGTAGATATACACTTCAAACTGGACGAGAGGACGGCCCACAGCTGCCTGGACCTGTTTAAGGGGAACACGGGTGTGATCCACCGGCTGCTGGGGGTGGAGCTGTCGCGGCTGCCCAGCAACGCAGAGCGATTCCGCGACTGGGCCGTGGTGCTGGCGGACTCGCCCTTGTCCAGCGGACGCCATTACTGGGAGGTCACGGTGAAACGGTCGCAGGAGTTCCGCATCGGCGTGGCTGAGGTGAACATGTCCAGAGAGGAGTGTATCGGGGCCAACGAGACCTCGTGGGTTTACGCCTACATGCAGCGCAAATGGTACAGCATGGCCTCGAACGAGGTGGTCCCCGTCAGCCTGTTCGGGAAGCCGCAGAGAGTGGGATTGCTCCTGGACTGCCAGGGCCGGAAGCTCAGCTTGGTGGACGTTGAGAAAGGCTCCGTGGTTGACACGATGCTGATTGAGATGCGATCGCCAGTGACACCAGCCTTCGCTCTGTGGGACGGACAACTGGTAACTCACCCAGGCCTGGAAACACCGGAAGGTGTCTGACTCCCTGGCCGGTTAGTGCCTCGGACACTGACTTTCTGTTCACTGGCCGTTTGTCCGTCCGTAGTGTTTCAGGACTTGTCTGCCCTATGTGTTCTGGGCAGATGTGAGTGTTGACAGCAGTGTTTTCTCTCCCTCTGCCCCCACCCACCAGGAGAAACATTTGAGTTCCCGCTGCAGTTACGATCTGTGGAATCTCCAGATAATACTCAGTAAACTCCAGATCCTCTTGTGGCATTCGCAGCGATTATCGGGGAATCTGACCACAGGCGCCCGGGCACTGAATGCCGATTGAAGGGCAGTGAGTGATGTGTTCTCGTGGTGTGAGTGTGAGCAGAATGTGTGGGTGTTTGTGGTGTGAGTGTGAGCTGTGAGTGCTGGGCCCCTGGTGAGTGTGAGCAGAGGATGCCCCGTTTGTGTATCCAAGTGGCAGAACTTTCACTCGTCTTTCAGATGTTTCACCCACAAAACACACAGTCACCACACTTTACTTTGAGACTTTTTGAGGCTCTTTGAGACTTCTCGAAGCCGCGATAAGACGCTGTATCAAGTGCAAGGATTATTAGTATTGAATCTTGCGCGGCTGAGGCAGCATTTTGTGGCTTTTCTCGCGAGCTGTTCCTTGCAAGAGGGAGAGATCAGCAAAGTGACCCGCGAGGGGATTGAGGAAGGAACGAACACCGGGAGTGTGAAAGAGACTGCGTGTGTGGTGATGCGGGGACTTTGGTCTCCATCGATTATAGACCATCGCTGCTTGGAATCCCCAGCATTTACCATTTTCATTCCGGGCTTGAACAGACTTCCTCACTGCTCGCCCGGTGTTTCCTGGGAAGCCCCTGTCCCGAGGGTGTGGGGGCATCGGTGTCCCGTCCCCCACACGCGCCGTGCGGTTGAGGTCTGGCCGTGGCCGGGACACACGGGTCAGGTTTGATGACGATCAATTTCGCGGTGAAGATTGATTTTGATGATAATCGGTTTGTAGCTTTAACGAAGATCAATAAAAGCAGTTGTGTCGCATTGTGTGTGAGTGAGTGTCGGAATTCTGCCTTCGCTGCGTCTGACGCCGTCGAACACTTTTGTGGGTAATTTTCTGGGAATAATAAATCCCTTAAAAATAATTAAAGTAATAAGGCGGTCACTTCCACCCCCACCCCCCCACCCCCCCAGGCTGTGTGGGGGGGACGTCGCCGGGCGCGCGATCGGCTGCCGCGTCGCCCACGAAGCACAGTCACTACACTTTACCGTCAAACACACAGTCACTACACTTTACAGTGTGACCCGTGAAGCGCTTTGAGACGTCTCGACGACGTGATCGGACGCACTAACCCGAAGCCAAGATTATTATTATTATTATTATTATTGTAACACACAAGCCCCGCCCCCACACAAACCCCTCCCACATCCCATAACCCCCTTCGCTTCCGGTAATGTGCGCGGCGATGCGGATGAGCGGACGCGCGATTCTGGTGGTTTTTACGGTTTGTACATAATAATACTAATCATCTCCGGCGCCTCAACTCTGTAAAGGTGTCGCGGGACACACTGTGAGGTGTAGTGACTGTGTTTGTGGGTGAAGCGCAGCGGCACTCGCTGTCACTCGCTGTCCTTTCCCCCTCAGGTCGGGATGGCCGCGGGTCCGGTGTCCGGGTGCAAAGAGGGAGAATATCGCCATAACGGCATCTGCTGCCCCCGGTGTCCACCAGGTGAGGTGCAGGGTCCGCGGGGGGGGGTGTGAGGGGGGGGGTGTGAGGAGGGGTGACGGGGGGGTGTGAGGAGGGGGTGACGGGGGGGTGTGAGGGGGGGTGGGGGGGGGGTGTGAGTGGGGGTGGGGGGGGTGTGAGGGGGTTGACGGGGGGGGGGGGTGTGAGGGGGGGTGGGGGGGGGGGGGGTGTGAGTGGGGTGGGGGGGGTGTGAGGGGGGTGACGGGGGGGGGGGGTGTGAGGGGGGGTGGTGACGGGGGGGGGGGGGGGGGGCAGAGCCTGAGGAGACACCGTGAAGTCGGACGCCTCCTCCTTTCTCTGATACGGTGATGGGAAGTGGCCGGACCCTCGGGGGGTGGGGGGCGGGGTGGGGGGGTCGGGCAGTCTCTATGGAGAGGAAAGTAAGTGTCCGTGACCCCTCCCTCCCCGACGCCCTGAGGGTCCCCACATTTATTCCCTGTTACTCCATCCCACGGTCCCTTCTCGCTCCCCCCCCTCCGCCTCCTTCAAGGCCGGTCTCGAGACCCTTCTCCTTGACCGTGCCTTTGGTCACTCCCTCCTCTCTGCCCCCCCTCCCCCTCCCTTCCCCCACCCCTCCCGGGGCTCGGGCCCCGACACCTGACTGTCCAGCGCTTTGGGACGTCCTCCCGACGTGAAAGGCACTCTATCAATGTCATTTTGTTGTTGTTGTGGCACGTGGGGTATTTCCCCCCTTTTCTCTTGTGGCTTTGACGATCCGCTGGTGGGGTGGGGGGGTTTTTTTGCTCCCCAGGTGAAAGGGTCCAAGATCACTGCACAGCCGAGGCCGGGACCACCTGCCTTCCCTGTGAGGAACAGACGCACCAAACGGAGGCGAGCGGGGACGAGGTTTGCAAACCGTGCACCAAGTGTCCAGCAGGTCAGTGGCACCCGGATACAGCTGTGGGGGGGGGGGGTATTGAGGCGGTATTATTTTAGGGGTAATATCTTGCCCCCGATCGGGGTTGGCTCTGCTGGTTTCAGGGTACTTCGAGCTCCAGAAGTGCAGCAGGACCCAGGACACGGTGTGCGACTGCTCGGAGGGCTTTCACTGCACCAACCTGACCCACAGCAACTGCGGGGAATGTGTACCTCACCGGCCCTGCCCCCCAGGCCAGGGGGTCGAGCAGCCAGGTCAGTGTCTGAGCCGCTGACTAACCCAACTGGGTGGTGGGGTGGTGGAGCAGATTCACATCCAAACGAGCTCCATGTCTGTGGCCCCAACACCAGAGATCTCCCTCCCCACGTGCCCTCGCTGGTCCCCACTCGCTCACACACTCACTCACTCATTCACTCACTCTCACAGATTCACTCATGGAGGGGAGGGGGAAGGGGGTGGGGGGTCAGGCTGCAGGTTCCATCTGTTGTGTGTTTGTTTTGTGTGTCTGTATAGAACCCTGGTGAGACCGCACCTCAAGTATTGGTCTCCTTATTTAAGAAAGAATGTCCTCACCTTGGAGGGAGTACAACACAGATTCACTGGGTTGGTACCAGGGATGAGAGGGATGAGTTATGAGGATAGGTTGAGCAATTTAGGCCTATGTTCTCTAGAGTATAGAAGAATGAGAGGTGATCTTACAGAAACCTATAAGATTATTAAGGGGCACGACCGAAAAGTGGGAGACGTTTCCCCTGGTTGGAGAAACTATAACCAGGGGTCACAGTCTTAAAATTCAGGGTAAGCCCTTTCGCACTGAGTTGAGGATAAACTTCTTCACTCAGAGGGTAGTGAATTTATGGAATTCTCTACACCAAAGGGCTGTAGACGCTCAGTCCTTGAACATATTCAAGACTGAGATTGATAGATTTCTTGTGGATAATGGGATTAAGGGATATGGGGATGAGGCGGGCGGGTGGAGTTAGATCAGCCATGATCTTATTGAATGGCGGGGCACAGGCTCGAGGGGCCGAATGGCCTTCTCCTGCTCCTAATTCTTATGTTCTTATGTTCTTGTTCTCAGGAGCATATCGCATGGACACGCAATGTCGCACGTGTCCGATCGGCAGCTTCTCAGACGAGAACTCGACCACACAGCAATGCAGAAACTGGACTGAGTGAGTGAGGTCGGGCGAGGATGGACAGTGTTGGCAGTAAATCCGTCAACAACAACAACAAAATTACATTTATAGAGCCTTTCACGTCGGGAGGATGTCCCAAAGCGCTGAGTGGGGTAGGGAGGGGGTGAATATTTATAATAATCCTTGCATTTGCTACAGCGCCTCGTCATGTCTTTTCAACGTCTCAAAGTGCTTCATAGAATATACCGCAAAGTGAATTGACTGTATATTTTGTGGGCGAAACTGTATATTTGGTGGAATGCAGTGTAGCTGAGGCTGAGAGCAGAAAGATGTTTAAATTAGAATTGGATAAGCGTTTAATGGGAAAAATGGGAAAAAAAGCAGTGTGGGACGCTGCTGTGCGCAATTGGCTGCCGCGTTTTGCCCAGAAAATAGTCAATTCACTTTACAGTGTATCCTGTGAAGCGCTTTGAGACATCTCAAAGACGTGATAAAGCGCTGTATCAAATGTAAGGATTATTATTATTATTAACCCTTTCCAAGTGCAGGGACTAACAGCAGCCGAAACCTGACGGGCTGTCATTTCCGTCATTCTAACATATTTCCAAATCCTCCTTACAACAATTCAATCTCTTGCTTCTCTTCTGTGCTGCTGTTTATTTCCGGTAACTTAAAGCAAACGCGTGTAATGGACTAACGGGGGCAGCTTCTGGGCTGAGTGATTGGGAGGCTTTCACCGGACTCTCGGAACTTTTCCACAAGTCGAATCTTCGATCATTAATTCTGTTTCCATAGTTGTGTTAATGAGATTTCGCCTGGAACCAACAAATCAGACACCGTTTGCTCACAGAATCAACATGTTCTTGTGATAGTGTTGGTGCCTGTCACGCTCGTGATATTGTTCGTGTTACTGATGGTATGGAGAAAGAGATTGCCAAGATTTATTCAGGTGAGGATGGATCCACTGTCTGTCTGTCTGGGTCTGTCTGCCTCTCCCTGTACTGCAATTTGTCCCAGTGCTCAGTCACTCACTCTAAGGATGGAGTCCCAGGAACCTGTCACCAATGTTCTTGGCCTCCGGTTACCTTCTCATCAACTGGTGTATAATCCCAGCCTCTTTCCCCTCCTCTCTTGAAGGCCTGCACTGGCCGGGCATCCCTGCTCTGGGACGCTACCCTGTGTGAGGGGCGTGAAATAAATGCAAGTTGTTGTTGCCCCTCGATGTGATGTGAGGCACAGGTTGACCTCGGTCAGGGGTCACCAGCAGCTCAAGGGCCGGTGTAGGGCGTCCAGGGACACTCACAGCCTCCCGAGCTCTGCTGCCCTCCGGCACTGGTTGTCTATTTCTCTCCTGTGTCTAGGCAGCACGTGTGGCGTGTTGTGTATTTAACATGGCTGACACGTGTCTATTTAGCATGTCCGCGATCACAGCCTTGTCACATACTTTAAGGAAGCTCAGGCCACACGTCCTGTGTTCATGACAACTGTCTCCACAAACACTGACTGGAAATGTTTTTTGTCTTTCAGATTTTGTTTCCAGGTTCAACAAGAAGGTAATTTTACAATTTTCTTTTAACGTTCAGAATAATCAGCCACTCTCCCTGGACTCACACTGAGACGCCTTCTTCCAAGTTACCAGCCCCTGCTCTCCACTCCACTACCCCCTCCAGCAGCTCCCCCACCCCACCCTCACAGTCACTGATGGGAGCTCTATCGTCTTCCCCCCCATTGCACACACAGGGTTAACTTCCAAATACCCAATCTACTGCTCCTCTTGACGCAATCCCTTGTTGACATCAAGGCTGGGATTAGAACAGTTTCCTCTTACTCAATAAGAATAAGAGACGTGCGCCGCATGGCTTCCCTTTTCCCCCCTCACCTGCTCCCTCACCAAGACCACCTTCCTTCACCTCCGCTCCGACCTCACACTGAGACACTCATTCGCACCTTCATCACACCCCACGGCCGGGGGCTGTGTGGGTGCCATAGAAAGCTACACGCGAAAAACACCCATTCGCTATGTATTCTTCGCTAGGGACTCCTCCCCCACACCACCACCCCAGTTTCATCCTGCACTCTTCCCCCTCCCCCCACCACCCCCACACCTGGTGACTTCAGTGAAATTACCTTGACTTTCTGTGTTTCCTAAGTGTGTAACCCTAAGTGTGTCAACTGGAGTTGGCTGAGTCTGAGCTGTGGATTTGAGTCTCCGGTCGTGATTGTGCTGTAAAGCTCGAACTCTTTGCCGTTCACTAAAATTCTCATGAGTTGTTCACTTTGTTTGACAGGAGTCAATAAGTACCCCTGTCCAGGAGCATGGACAATGCGACTCAGACACAGCAGGTGAGTGACGCTACCTTAGACCTGGGGCTGGGCAGTGCTGTGGACACACTGACCTCTCACACTCCAGGCTTTATAGCAAGGTGTGTGTGTGAAGTGGGATAGGTTCAGGTGTTTCCCTGTATGTATCTGACTGAGCTGTTTGTTTTAGGTGGAAAGTTGGCTGTGCAGGCCAGCTCCGTGAAGCTGATTCCACCGAGTCTGTGACGTCCTCCGGACCTGAAAGTCGTTCCACAATGTGATCTGTTGTATCCAAATCATTGCCGCTGTTTTATAATATATATCAGTTGCTCCTTGAGATGGGTAACCAACATTTATGTGGTTAGCCTTCTGGATAATATTTTGTATCTCAAAAATATTTTTATAAGTGTTTGTGTACATGGAGTCCTGTAGCTCAGTGGTTAGAGCACTCGCTTTGCAAGTGAGAGACCTGAGTTCAATTCCAGGCAGAGGGCGAAACCTCGGGCAAGTTTCCTTACTCCACACAGAGCCTAATAATAATCCTCCAAAACCAAAAACAATAATAAATTGGTCATTTTTAATCTACGACTGTTTGTGGGACATTGCTGTGCGCAATTGGCTGCCGCGTTCACCCACAAATATACAGTCAATTCACTTTACAGTGTGTTCTGTGAAGCGCTTTGGGACGTCCTCCCGACGTGAAAAGCGCTATATCAAATGCAAGGATTATTATTATTAACTTGAATCCGTGCCTCGGGTATCGCAGGGTACGTTATTTTTGATTATTGCTAAACTGAAGTAAAAACTATTGTGTTAGGAATGTTGGCCAGACTGATACACAGCGTTGCAATGACAAACTGTAAGTCTGAGGGGAATAAAACAAATTGTCGTCATTTTGTCATCTTTCAAGTTCTTAAAAGTTGCTCGGGGTGGGGGAGAATAATAATAATCTTTGCATTTGGGATGGGGGGACATCTCAAAGCACTTAACATTGCTGCCCACCAGGAAACTCACAGGGAGTTTGTGGGAATTCCCCCCCACTCCCCCCCCCCCCTTCAAAATAAGCCTCAATATCTTCAAAACTACATCTGTTTCAATGCAAATAGAGATTTACTGAAATCCAGACACCCCCCACCACACACACAAACACCCCCCACCACATACACACAAACACCCCCCACCATACACACAAACACCCCCCACCACATACACACAAACACCCCCCACCACACACACAAACACCCCCCACCACATACACACAAACACCCCCCACCACACACAAACACCCCCCACCACATACACACAAACACCCCCCCCACACACACAAACACCCCCCACCACATACACACAAACACCCCCCACCACATACACACAAACACCCCCCACCACATACACACAAACACCCCCCACCACACACAAACACCCCCCACCACATACACACAAACACTCCCCCACCACATATACACAACAGACCCACTGCCCCCACAAATTGCTTCACTCTCGCGCCCCCCCCCACCACCACATACACACACACAGTCTCTGACTAACCACCCGCACCCCAAATAAACCTCTGCCATCGGTCGGGCAAAGGAATCTGCTCAAGTGGAAAGTTTTGATTTACAAACCTCGGCGCAGACCCCGACAAACCCAAACCCATCCGCATGTTTCACAAGATTAAAAAGTTACGAAAATAAAATCAGTCGATATAAAAGCCGGAGAGTCCCAGGGCCCTCGCTGCCCTCCCTCAAGTTTTGTGGTGCCCAGAACTGGGCTGGAGCCGGGGCTTCAGGTCTGGCAGGAGGAAGTCAAATGTCTCGGGGTGTAAGGGGCAGTTGGGGTCAGAGAGGATGGAGTGCAGCCCCGATGCGGTGGCCGCCCACTTCTCCTTGTTCCTCCACGCTATCAACATGCGGAAGTTGCGGTCGACGGCGCTGTGTTTGTTCTCAGCCTCACAGCGCTCCAGAGTCACCTCGTTCAGACCCAGGAACTCGATCCCGATCTGTCGCCACTCGTGTCCCAAGTTGCTGGCGAGTATCATCAACTGGGACTCGGTCACTGGCCCCGACTCTGTGATCAAAGAGCAACGGTGAGACACGGGGAGGGGGGGGGGGGTGGGGGAGAGTGTGTGGGGGAGAGAGGGTCAGAGAAACAGAGAGAAGCAAAACGGGGTGGGAGGGGGGAGAGAGGAGATGGAGAGGGGGGAGAGAGAGGTGGTAAAAGTGGGGAGAGCGCGGGAGGAAAGTGGGAGAGACGGCCGGTGGGGGATTGACTTACTTTGTCCACGATCAGCCCGTCCGGGAGTGTTATCCGGAGCGAAACCCGGTGTGAGGTCTCCAACTTCCCCCACAGCCCTGAGGTGAGGATCTGACCACATACACACAGTGAGAGCCGTGCACACCCCTACAGAACCCCCCCCACCCCCGCACAGAACCCCCCCCCCACCCAGACACCCCCCCACCCCCGCACAGACCCCCCCCCCCACTGCCGCACAGACCCCCCCCCACCCAGACACCCCCCACACCCCCGCACAGACCCCCCCCACCCCGCACAGACCCACCACCACCACCCCACCCCCGCACAGACACCCCCACATAGACAACCCCCACACACAGACCATCCCCCACACAGACTCCCTGTCCCCAGACACCGCCACACATACTCTTCCCCCCCCCCCCCCCACAGATACCCACCCTCACCTGTTGGTAACCCCATCACTAGGTTGTGTGTGTGTGTGTGTTGTTGTTGGGGGGGAACAGTCAGTTTCTGTGGGGGGGCGGGTATCAGGTGTTGGGATTGTTAATCAGGTTAGAGTGTGAGTGGGGGGGATAGTCAGGCTGTTGGGGGGTCTCAGTCGGGGGGGAGGGTCAGTCGGGGGGGGGTCAGTCGGGGGAGGGTCAGTCGGGGGAGGGGGGGTCACTCACCAGGGGGCCCCGGGGGGGGCAGCAGGTGCAGGAGGTCGCGGCGGGGGATGAGGCCGAGGATGTCGCGGGTGACGGCGGCCGCGCGGTGGCTGTAATGGCGGAGGAGCAGCTGCGCGAGACCCGGACTCCTCGCGGCCTCCAACCGCCCCCCCGGTACCGGCTCCCAGCCCCGCCCCCCCGCCCCCGCGGGGCCCAGGAAGAACTTGAACCGCTCCAGCTCGTCCCCGGTCAGCTCGTCCACCACCCGCAGCAGCTGCTCCGCCGATCCGGCGCTGTCCCCGACCCCGACCCCGGGCTCCGCCGCCATCAGCCGCCGCCTCGGCCTCACTTCCTGTTCCCGCCAGAAATCAAACGTCTGTCGCGCCGGAACTCCGTCACGAGCCCAAAATAGCCCAAACACCCGCCCCCGCACAATAGCCCAAATACTGGCCCGAAGCCCCGTCACGAGCCCAAAATAGCCCAAACACCCGCCCCCAAAGTAGCCCAAATATTCCTGGGCTCTGATAGCAATGAGGGTATTTGACACCGCCCCTTATTACGACTTCGAGACGTTTTCAAAGCGCTTCACGGGATATACAGTGAAGTGTAGTGACTGTGTATTTCGCGGGCGAAACGCGGCAGCCGATGGCGCACAGTGACGTCCCCACAAACAGGGCGTGGATTCAGTGACCGCATTTTTTTTTGGGGGGGGGGGCGGCCGGGGTGGGGGGAGAGATTATTACCCCCAGAAAGCGATCCGCCAATTGACTAAAAACCGGGTTCCTATTTACTGCTCAGTAAACAGGACTGTGGAGTAAGGAAATGTGCCTCAGGTTTCACCCCCTCTCGGAATCAAACTCAGGTCCTCTCCGTTGTTTTGTTTTAGATTTGTGACATTGTGCCTCGGGCTGTTGCACTGTCACTACACCGAGCAGCCATTCCCTGGGGGAGAATACGTGTTGGATTACCCCATCGGCTCCACAGGGTGTCCCGAGTTCTGGGCTGTACCAAATGTGGGAAGAGCAGAAGACTTCAGGACATGGAGTCTGTCAGCCCGGCTCACTCGCTCGCACACTTGCCTCTGGGTCAGGAGGCTGTGGGTTCAAGCCTCACATCAGGGATTCTGAACTCACAGTCTAGGCTGAGCTCCAGCGCAGCGCTGGGGTGGGGGTGGGGGGGGGAGAAACTGTTGGAGGTGCCGTCCTCAGATGAGATGTTAAGCAGAGGTTCTGCCTGTGCTCTGTTCAGGTGGATGTTAAAGATCCTGCAGAGCTGTCCAAAGGGTGTTTCTCTCTTGCGGGTCCCGCCGGACACAGCACTCGATGTTCAACGCAGTGATGGGGTGACGCTCCATAAGAGATCGAGTGAACCCTCAAACCTCTCGCTCACTCAGGCAGTCACTAAACCTGACAGCCATTATGAAATCAAACAGATGGATTCTTAAACCCAATCTAACCCAGGAGACATCCAGACTGAAGCCAGTGAGTCCACTTCCTCACACACAAACACCCATTTGCCCCCCCACCCGTTCCCTCCACACACACACACAGGAGCGAACCCCACAAATCACCACAAACCAAATGATCTTAAAAAGGCAAATTACAATTTATTTACTTAATTTATGTACAACTTTTCATAAAATCATTCAGATAAAAAATAACAGAACGAAATTTAACGTGAACAGGAATGACCCAGACACGAGACTATTCCTCCCCACACACACCAGTCCCAAACAGACACACCCAGGCCCCTGGGGAGGGAGTGAAAATTGTTGGAAATTAAAGGCTGCCATGAGGCAGTGGGGAAGATCAGCCATTCTCAAGGGGTGCAGGTAGTTATTCCCAGGGAGTGTCTGGCACAGGGTACACACTCACTCCTGCCAGGCAGCAGAGATGTTTGTGACTGAGTGACCACAACAACCAACCGCCTCCCCACCCAAACCCCAGGATAGCCCCCCCACCCCGGTCAGGCAGGCCTGGGATTCGCTTATAAAGTCAGGTATAAAATATATTGCACTTTTTTTTTTAAAAATGAGAACATTTACATCATTATGTTTTGCGCTGGAGCCCCGCGCCCCCCTCCCCGCTCAGCCCCATCCATCCCCCACTCCTCCCCGCAAGGCTACACTCACAATCAGTGCTCGGAATCATTTCCTTAAATAAGGCTGGATGGTCCTGAGGCCCCTCTCCTTGGCCTCGGGGTGGGGGGGGGAGGGGGGGTGGGTGGCACGGTGACACCGCTCGCTCCGGCCGGGGGTCAGTAACAGTGATGCCCGTCCAGCCTCCTGTGTTGCCTGTTGCCTGGCTGTGCCATTACGCCTCTGACGTAGCTGGTGGTTTGAGCTCAGCCGTTTCCATGGCGGTGCCGTATGGCATAGACACAGGTTTGAAGAAGTCAATCTGTAACCAGAGCAGGAGATTAGGGGGGAGGGGGGCACATGAGAGATTAGGGGGTGAGGGGGGGGGGCGAGAGCGAGACGGAAGAATGAGAGAGGGGGAGCGAGAGGAGAAAGCGACGGGAGGAAGTGAGAGGAGTGACTTACTTTGTACAGGATGAAGATGAGGAGTGCGAGGAGGAGCAGCCCGATCAGCACGGCCAGGATTATTATCCAGAGCGGGACCCCGTGTGAGCTCTCCAGCTTCCCCCACAGCACTGAGGTGAGGACCTGAACCCCCCCACACACACACACACACACAGTGAGAGCCGTGCACACACCCGCCCCCCCCACGCACAGACAACCCCACCAACACCCCCGTCAGCCCAACCCCACATATACCTCCCCCCCATAAACACACCCGACCTTTGAGAGTTAACTGGTGAAATGCCTTAAATAGAGTCAGTTACAGGAGATGTGGAGAAATGGCGGTGAAATGGGACTGAGAGGATTGAGGGGACAGCACAGACGCGATGGGACGAATGGCCTCCGTCAGCGACGTGAATGTCTATGGTTCTGCGGTTTGCTTGAACGAGTGCCATTGCAGACCTTGGCCAACAGGCGGCGACGCTGCAACACCGGCTACTTGGCATGTGCATGAGTGTGTACATGTGAGTCAGCGACACCCTCAACCACCCCCTCCCCACCGCCCCACTCCTCCCCACCCCCCCCCCACTCGTCCCATGACCCCCACCCCCCAGACAACGACAACAAGATTAGACGTACCTGTATGGAGCCCTGTGGGTAGGAGAGGGGGAGGATGGCGTAGGGCAGACTGTGTACGGTGTAGGAGGCATTACATTGCAGCACATACGGGTGATTCTCTCTCTAAATCGAAGACAGGAAACCCCATCAGACCCCAAACTTCCTCCGCAATCCCCTCCCCACCCACAGCCCAACCCCCCCCTCCCGACCCACAGCCCAACCCCCCCCCTCCCTACCCACAGCCCAACCCCCCCTCCCCACCCACAGCCCAAAACCCTCCCCTCCCCACCCACAGCCCAACAACCCTCCCCCTCCCCACCCACAGCCCAACCACATCCTGCCGCTCCCGTACCTGCAGGAAGGTTTCTGCCCAGATGCGGGTGTGGAGGGTCAGGACCACACTCTTGCCTCGCTCCAGCAGCCCCACCTGACATGTCAGCCACTGGCAATCCACCTGCTGACAACTCTGCACAGAGAGAGGGAGAGCGACTGAGCACTCGAGCAAACGTGTGTGTGTGTGTGTGTCTGTTTGTCTGTGGGAAATAACTGTCTCTCACCAGTGTCTTCCAGGCCCTCAGGGGGTCCCGGGGCGCCTCCCTGCGACGGATGGAATGTTCCGGGCTGGGTGGCGGAGTGGGGGGGGTCTTGGTGCTGAGCGTCTGCATCTGTAAGGTTAAAGTCAACGAATCGGTTCCAGCGGCTACTGCGACAAACAGTCCCTCCCCACCCGCCCCTCGACGATGACTCCCTCCACCCCATCCCCTCCCCATAAGCTCAGGACACATGACCACCCCGCCACCCCCCCCCCGAGGGGGAGGAGGGAGGGAGAGAGCCAGACTTACCTTGAGCTGCCGAGGGTTGAAGTGGCTGCTGGGGGTGCAGTTGACAGTGGCCCCTGTCACAGTGTAAGCCATGGGGTAGAGGAGGGGGCTTCCCTGGAAGCTGCTGGGGAAACTGATTTGCAGTGTGGAGAGGCCGATGGAGCTCGGGCCATTGTTCAAGAGCTGTGATAGGTCACATTTCAGTCATTAACGTTCTCGCTCATCATCATCATCATAATAATTCTCACTCATTAACCATCTTCACCATCCCCACAACCAGCCTGGAATAACAGCCCCCCCACTCCAGCACACAGCACCCCCCCTCCCTCCCAGCACACAGCACCCCCTCCCCCCCAGCACACAGACCTCCTTCCCCCCCAGCACACAGACCCCCCTCCCCCCCAGCACACAGCATCCCCTCCCACCCAGCACACAGCACCCCCTCCCACCCTCACCACCCCACCACCCCACCAGCGCACAACACCCCCCCCACCAGTGACGGACCACAAATACGTGCTGGAGTGGGGGCCCCACATCCTCCTCTGTGATTGGTCGCTTGCTTGGCCTCCAGTTGGGGATGGGAAGATTGATCTTATCTTGAATGGAAACTCTGCCGAGAGACAGTCAACACGTCACATTTACACGTCTCGCGTCAGGAGGACGTCCCAAGGCGCTGGACAGTCAGGGATTTGGACCCGAGCTGGGGGTTGGCATCAGGGAGGGTGGGGGGGGGGTAGGAGGGTGGTCGAAGGCGCATTCGAAGAGGAGGGTCTTCAAACAAGCTTTGAAGGAGGCGAGGTGGAGGGGATGTGGAATGAAGTTCCAAAGGGTGGGGGCAGAGGATGAAGGCTTGACCGTCAATGGTGGGGGAGGCCAGATGGGGGAAACATGGAGCAGGCCGGAGCCCGCTGAGCAGAGGAAGCGGACAGGTTGATAAGGGGTTAGCGGGTCAGAGTGAGGAGGGGGCAAGGCCATGGAGGGCTTTGAAGGCGAGGACGAGGATGTTGAACTCTGTCCTCTGGTGGATGAGCCAGTGGAGCCGGGCGAGGGTGGGGGTGAATTAGTCACGGAGCTTGGTGCGGGAGTGGACACGAGCAGCAAAGACCACCCCCCCCCACCCCACACCCACCCAAGGCACACACAGCCTTACCCATGGAAGTTGACGTCGGCAGACACGGCTACAGTCAGTCTGTGGGCCACGGTTTCGCTGTGAGAATTGTTCAGATTTTTGCTGAAAAAAAACCCACAAAATGTTGACAATGATGCGTTTCTGTGGCCTGACCCCCGAGACCCCACCGCCCCGAGACCTCTCCCCTTCCGAGACCTCTCCCCCTCCGAGACCCCACTGCCTCGAGACCCCTCCCCCCTCCGAGAATCCTAACACTAACCTGCGAATCTGCAGTTCAAACTGGATGGATTTTCTCTGGTCGTTGAGTTGATGGACAGTGAATCGGAGTCCACCAGAGAGCTGCGAGAGGCACAGAGTGAGGTTACCCCACAAACAGTGACCTTACCCACCCTCACCCACACAAACCCCCACACACACACAAACACACACACACACACACACACAGAGCCACAATGCCCCCTCCACCCCATTCCCCCGCAGTCTCTTACGTTGGTTCCTGGCTTCATGGGATTGCCGAGGTCACAGACAACCGTCTGGTTTTCGTACGTACAACTGAGCTGTACCAGACTCTAAAGAGGAGAGAGGGAGAGAGTGACTCCCTGCCCAGAAACCACCCCCTCTGCCCCCCAACCCCCCACCCCCACCACACATACAAAGCGATCCCATGTTCCGGTACCTCCTGTGGTGGGGCTCACCTTGTTGTGGACGATGCCGCTGTAGTCGGCCTCGGGGGGCACGGTCACACACAGCTCCGCCTCGTACGCTCCGCCTTCCCCCACGTTCCAAGCCTCGAAGCTCAGCGCCAGCTCGTTCCTGTCCCCCAGGTACACAGTGTCCCTGTCCCTACAACACATACACACAGCCCGTCACACACACACAGCCCCCGTCACACACAGCCCCCGTCTCACACACACAGCCCCCGTCTCACACACACAGCCCCCGTCTCACATACATATACACACATACACAGCCCCCGTCACACACACACAGACCCGTCACACACACACACACACACAGCCCCCGTCTCACACACACACAGACCCGTCACACACACACAGCCCCCGTCACACACAGCCCCCGTCTCACACACACACACACACACAGCCCCCGTCTCACACACACACACAGACACAGCCCCCACCCAGCCCTGGGGGAGTTACTTACCCGGACACGGAGAGGTGCAGGTCAGGCACACACACATTGTCCTCCCCACAGTCCAACTGGATCTGAGCCTGTCACAGAGTCAACAGCAATTACACAGCGATTCCCCTCCCCCCCCCCCGCCAACCCCGAGCCCCTCCCCAACCCCGAGCCCCCCCCCTGCTGCCCCGAGCCCCACCCTCCACCACCCCAAGCCCCTCCTCCCACACCCCGAGCCCCTTCCCCCACCACCAATTGGCACCTCCTCCCCACCCCATAACCAGTCCCACACCATGCAGCCCCTCCCTTCAACTCCAGGGTCCCTCCCCCATATGCCCCACCCCACCACATCCCGCCCCCTCCCCACCACGCCCCACCCCCTCCCCACCACGCCCCACCGCCTCCCCACGATGCCCCGCCCCCTACCTGCTGCTGGAGGTGTCGGGCGGTGGAGAAGCTGAGGATGGGGCGGAGTCCGTGCTCGTCCACCGGGGTTTGTGGATCGAGGCTGAGCCCCAGCTCCACCCGGATCAAAGAGAGTTTATCCCGGAATTCCGACTCCTCCTGAGAGACCAGGAACAGCATGTTATCACAGCCCTCCCCCTCCCCTCAGATTCTTCTCCCCCCTCCACCCACCACACACTCCCTCCCCCAGACTTTCCTCCTACTATTTCACCCCCTCCCCTTGAGGCCACACACACAGGACCACCCCCCCCCACTCACCACCCCCCCCCCCAGCCCCCCCGCGCACACACACACAGGAGCCCCTCACCCGCAGGTAGATTTCCAGGTGATGGCAGACCTCTCCCTGCCCGTTGCCGATGTTGACTGTGGCCTGGAAGCCGGGCTGCTGTGTGTCCAGGAACAGCACTCGCCTCACCGCCCCCTTCACCTTCAGCGTGTCCAACCCCAGCTGCACCCGCAGGCCTGCGCACACACACAGCGTCACACACACACGGCGTCTCACACACGCACACACACGGCGTCTCACACACGCACACACAGTGTACACACACAGCGTCACACACACACGGCGTCTCACACACACAGTGTACACACACAGCGTCACACACACACACAGCGTCTCACACACACACACACGGCGTCTCACACAAACACACAGCGTGTCTCACACACACGGCAACTCACACAAACGTGTCACACACACACACACAGCGTCACACACATACACACAGCGTCACACACGTACACACAGCGTCACACACACACACACACACACACACAGAGCGTCACACACACACAGCGTCTCACACACACACACAGAGCGTGTCTCACACACACGGCGTCTCACATGGGGCGTCTCACATGGGGCGTCTCACACACTCACCAATGGAATCCGGGATGTGTTTTCCAGACGCAGTGAGACAGAAGCTGACGTTGATGCTGCAAAAGGGGAAAAAACGGAAAATTAGAAAATGGGGGCGAGAGGGAGGGGGAGGAGAGGAGGGGGGCCGGGGGGGTAAGGTGGGAGGTTGAGTGGGTGGGCTGGAGAAGAGGAAGGGGTGAGGAGGCGATGGGGTGGTGGGGGGGGGGTTGAGAGGGTGAGGGGGGAGAGGAAGGTGACCTACCAGGAGACTTGAGTGCCGTTTAAGGTGCATCGCTTCTCCTCGGGGTTGAAAACCGCAGGCGTCAGCTTCAGCGATGCGCTGGCACTGACAATCGGCCTGGCCCTGAGCACAGGGAGAGAGGGTCAGTGTCCAGCCCTAGCCCCCCGCTCCCACCCGCCCGAACAACATCCCCCCCCACCCCTCCCGCCCCCGCCCCTGCCACGGACACACATACAAACGTGCATAGAGCGGACAGAGAACTTTTACCTGTAAACCACCGCCCGGTCAACACCAAATGCCCCGACAATAACATCTGGAAAAGAGACGTGTGGCAGCTCAGTGAGTGAGGGGGACAGCGGTGGTGGGGTGGGGGGGGCAGGTGCAGCTCTGTCCACTGCTCAGTGACTCTACAGCTCGGTGCAGCCTTGGACTCTCCCCTCCCATTCCCTCCCTCCATGACCCCCCCCCCCGGGGTGTGTGGTTCCCGGCCTCTCCCGGCAGCTGCAATGAGCCGGCAGGAATGTGAGAACAATGAACCATTTCCTCTTTTCCCATCACAACATTCCCAGCTTTCCTCCCCGACAGGAACAGCCAGGCCTGCGGGACGCCAGAGCCACAGGAGGGGGGGAGGGACAGCATATAACACACAACTCCTCCCCCTCCCCGTACCTGTGTACCCCCTCCTCTCCCCTCCCCGTGTACCCCCTCCCCATGTACCCCCTCCCCGTACCTGTGTACCCTTTCTCCTCCTCTCACCCCCTCCCCGCACCTGTGTACACCCTCTTCTCCCCTTCCTCCCCTCACCACCCCGTACCTGGGTAACCGTTGCCGTCCAGGTCGGTTGCCCCCCTCACGGTGAAGCCGAAGCTGGCGATGCCCCCGCTCGCCGGCCACAGGCCGAGGAGGAGCTGGGATGCTTTGAGGCTCAGGCCCCCCTCGTGGCCATTGTAGATATAGACCATCCCCCGAGCGTCATCTCCTGCGTAGGGGGCTCCCACCGCTACGTCTACAGAAAGGGGGGGTAGAAAACGTTAGCATGCAATCCTCGTACCCCACACCCCCTCGTGACTCGCTCCATGCCCCCCCCCCACCCCATAGCAGCCCTGAACCCCTCCCTCCATCTCCCGGCTGAACCCCCCACCACCCGCGTCCCCAAGATTCTCAGTACATTTGCACTGGCCTTGTCTCACTGCCCCCCAACACCAGGGAGAAGCAGCCCCCCAAATCCCGATGACATCTTAGGGTGCTACCCCCCCCCTCAACGTACCATTGTAACCGTCCTGGTCCAGGTCTCCGAGCACCGCGATGGCTGTCCCGAATCGGCCGTAGGTGAAGGTTCCCGTCAGGTTCTGGGCCGGACTGAACTGTAGCCGTGACATCTGCAGATAAACGTAGACCCTCCCGAGCTCCTGCAGTCGCCCCCCCACCTCCCGCTCCATCAGCATCGGGGCCCCCACCAGCACATCCTCCAGCCTGTAACACAGAGACCAGCCCCCACCCCAGTTAGCCCTCGCTATTCACCCCTTCCCCACCCACCCTTCCCAAACCCCACCTCCGCCCCCCCCCCCCACCCCTGCACCACCCGCCCCACCACCCCCCGCTCCATCAGCATCGGGGCCCCCACCAGCACATCCTCCAGCCTGGAATACGCTCAGCACAACCACCAACACCCCCCACCCCTTCCCTACCCCTGTCCTCCGATCTGCCAAACTTTCCCAGTTTAAGGACTGAACTAAAGGACAAGGTCTCTGATGACGTTTCACCCACACACACCCCCAAACCCCCCACCCACCCACCCACCGCTCAGGGCCACCATGTGCGTGGGGCAGACAGACGCAGCACCCCCCACCCCACCCCCTCCTCCGCACTCACCCGTCACCATTGATGTCAGCCACAGCCACAGAATAGCCAAAGTACGAGGTCATCTGGAAACAATTAAGCCGGTAAAGTTTATAATTAAATTCAAACTTATAACATGCACATTTGTCACGAAGGCCTCGCAGTCCTTGTGCGGGGACCGCTGGCATTCCGGAACATTCCTCGGCGGGTAATTCTCACCAGTTTGCAGAGAGTTAACCCTTCGCTGTTAGGGCTCGGGCCCCAACAAGCACCCTGTCCCCACACACAGCCCCAGCCCAGGCCCACACCCTGGGTCTGCTGCAGCCCCTGGCAATGAATGTTTCATAGTGTAGTGCAGTCTCGCACAGGAACCCCCCCCCACCCAACAAGCCCCCGCCCCCAGCCAGGCATCAGTCTCACATGATATAAACCAATGGTGACTAACCCAGGCCCCAGGCAATTAATAATAATAATCCTGGCCTTTGATCCAGCGTCTGAGACGTATCAAAGCATTTCACAGGATAGATATACTGTAAAGCGGAGTGACTGTGTGTTGAAACATGGCAGCCAGTGGTAGTGTCCTATTGGGTGTCGGGAAGTGTCTGGTGAACACTGGCACTGGTCTGTATTGGCACATCGATGCCACGTTTGCGCTAGTGACTGAGCAGCGATGTTGGTGCTGAGGCCATGAATGGCCGATGTAACATACCTGCTCCCCGGTGAAGTTAAACACCGATTTTAGGTTTGTGCCGTTCAAGATGGTGACCTGTGGGCGCAAACCATATATCTACGTTATTACTGCTGTATCCTCACCCATCGAGCCCCGGCCCCTCGCCAGCCGCCACCACCTCCCCCCATTGACACTTCCGTCCTCACCACCAGTCCCGCCCGCCCCCGACTGCCAGCCCCCCAGCCCCATGCACGCACTGTGCCTGTCCCTCCCACCAACCCCTCACCAGTGGGTAAATGCTTACATAGCCGATGGTCTTCATCCCGCGGGGAACACCGGTCACGTAATCTGTCACCAGAGACAACAATCAGCCAATGCCAACACCCCTACACCCCCCTCCCTCGCCCCCACACACACACACACTAACCCCCCCCACACACACACACACTAAGCCCCCCCCCACACACACTCACACTAAGCCCCCCCCCCACACACTCACACGCTAAACCCCCCACCATCTACCTTGCTGTAAACCATTGGAGACTCTTACCTTCAACCTGGTCTCCAGTAAACTCGCCAATAGCTACAGAGAAACCTGTAGAGACACAGCGCAGTCAGTCGGGGGGAAGAGGTACAGGGGGGCGGGGGAGATGATGTACAGTCAGGGTAAGGGAACACAGCGGACAGTCGGGGTACTTGCCGAGGTAGCTGTAATCGTTCGAGGTGTGACTGTGTGTCGTCTCCATCTGACCCTCCACGTACTGGATGAAGTTGGGGCTGAATTCAGATTTGACAATGTCCTCTATCCTGGCCGTGACCAGCTGCCCTGTGGACACACACACGCGCACACACAGGGGTCAGTGTGCAACACACTGGAGGTGTCACATCAACTCTCCTCCGGGGCAATGAGCAGAGGCTCCTCAGGGCTGACATGTTTGGCAAGGGAATGTCAGAATCAAGCCCTCTTCCCCCCCCTCTCTCTCTGTGACGGTCTCTAGCCCCGGTTCCTGAGCCAGGAGGGGCCGCAGTGTCCCAAGGCACTCACTGCTGATGGCAGCACAGCCCGGCTTATCCATCGGCAGGACCTGGAAGGGCCAACCAGTCACTGGGGGCAGAGAATCCTCCCCCTCAGCTCCTGTTAACCCCACAGCCAAAGCCCTAACTAACGGGGAGGGGAGGTCCTAGCTGGACAAGCAGTGGGAAAGCTTGGCCAGACAGCGCTCCCTCTCTCTCTCGATGGCCGAGCTGTGTGTGAGTTTAGATGGTTAGACTCCAGCAGTTACCCCCAACGCACACATGTTAGAGACAGAGTAAAGCTCCCTCCATACGGACGGTGCACACTCTCACGTTCCCCACAGAAGACAAGGGCTCGCCCCCCCACTCCCGCTCCCACCCACCCACAACAAAGGCTGCAAGACAGACCCTCCCCCCTACCCACCCCGGCACCCAGACTGTACCTTGCCAAAAGAAACTTCCGGGCCCTCCAAGCACCACTCTCCCACTCTGCTAGAAGAAGCACTGTGTTACTCGCATTGCGGACAGTGGCGGAGGGGGCGGAGAGATGCCGAGGGGGAGGGAGGAGACAGACACGGTTGGTGGGGGGCGGATTCCCAAGGCGTGGGGGCGACTGCAAAGGACGCTGTGGACCGGGGTGCGTGGGGGGGTGATCTTACCTCTGACATGTCGGCACTGAATGAGCCCTGACAGTAGCCTTTCCACATTGGGGTGTGCTGCCCTGCCAAAACACCCACAGCATCAGCCACAGCCCACAGGGCCCCGCTCCTCCCCACCATCCCGCACCCCACCCCCCGCGCCCCCCACCCAACCATACACACCCTCTCCAGCCCAGGCCCCTTCTCCCACAGCGGCCCCTCCACCCACCGACCCGCCCTCCTGGCCCGGCGCCTCCTCCTCCATTCCACAACCCCTCCTCCCTCCCCTCCCACTCGCAGTGCCCCCCCTCCCACTCACAGTGGCCCCTCAGGGCAGACCCTCCCCCTCGCGGCAGACCCTCCCCCTCGCGGCGCGGTGTGTACCAGAGCGACACGGTGCAAACTCCACGATGGAGCTGAAGTTGTGGATGGACAGGAAACAGCTCCCCACCGGCTCCCGCTGCGACAGTTCGCTCGTCGTCCTCCATTTGTAGCGAGGGGCACAGGCCTGCAGGGAGAGGGGGGGGGGCAACACCGTCAGGGAGCAGCGAGACACGTTTCCCCCACCACCGCCCCGTCCCCCAGAGACAGATAATCCTTGCATTTGATACAGCGCTTTATCAGGTCTTCGAGACGTCTCAAAGCTCTTCACAGGGACACACTGCAAAGTGAATTGACTTTATATTGTGGGCAAAAAGGCAGCGTCGCTCTCTCCCGGTGTCGTGGATTGAGTGACCAATTTATTAATTTTTGAAGGATTTATTACCCTCAGAAAAGTGATTCGCCCAATCGATGACTACGTATTGCCGAGTAAACAGAAGTGTGTGGAGTAAGGAAACCTGCCCGTCATTGTGCCCAGGTCCTCTCACTTGCGAGGCGAGTGGTTTAACCATTGAGCCTCAGGTTGGGTTATTACCCCCCCCCACCCCACCCCACCACCCCACCCCCACCCCTCGCCCCCACCCCGCGCGCCGGGCTACGAACACTGACCAGGATAGTGCTGTTGTGGGAGCGGATCGTGGCACCGAACCACTGGTGGGATTTGAACTCCAGCAGCTCAGTGTTGTTCAGCTCCAGCGACTCACTCTTATTGAACCGCACCATTTCGGCCGCCGTCTCGTTCACAAACAACCGGTTACCTGCCGACGGCAAACACACAGCTCACACCCAGCACCAAGCCCTTCATACAGCCCCCAGCCCCTCAAGATCCCCGCCCCGCCCCCTCCGGCACGAGTCTCTCACCAGCTGTGTGTGTACTGGACGCCCGGCTCCGGCCCCGGCTCCGGCCCCGAGATTCACTGTGTTTATTCGTTTAATCCCCAAAGCCCAACCGGAATAGCAAGAAAAACAATCAGAGCGAAACAGACCTCTAGACAGGCCTCCCAACGCCCCCCCACCCCCCCAACCCCACCCACCCACTCCAGTATCACCGTGCCCCCACCCCCACCCCCACCACCCACAGCTGTTAGGGACGCAGATTTGCACCTTTTACTGGAATGTTCCAGCGCCAGACAGTTTCCTCGGATTCAAAACGCATGAATTCCAAAACATGAAGGTGAGCGAGGAAACGAGGGAGGGAGGGAGGGAGGAAGGGAGCGAGGGAGGGAGTGAGAAGGGAGCGAGCGAGGGAGCGAGGAAGCGAGGGAGGGATCGAGGGAGGGAGGAAACGAGGGAGGGATCGAGGGAGGGAGAGAGCGAGGGAGGGAGTGAGAAGGGAGCGAGCGAGGGAGGGAGGAAGCGAGCGTGTCAGGGTGGCGGAGCGCGAGCGAGCGGGGGACCTGGGGGGGGGGGTCACAGGATACCTGTCAGACATCTTGTCCCTGACCCAGAAGCACACAGAGGGGGAGGCCTCACTGCCAGGAACACAGTGACTGCTGTACCATCGCTCACACACATGTTGCAGCAATTTATTTTTTCAGAGCGGGGGGGTGGGGGGGGGGGTTGCGGGGCAGCCTGTGGGGTATTTAAACATGAAGGAAACACACAACCACAGAGGTTCCTCACACGCTCGTGTCTCCTAGCATCAGCGCTGGGACTCAGTCTTGACCCCCACCCACACCGCACACCCCCCACCCCACCCCCGTCACTGTGACCCCGAAACTACAGCAAACTGTAACAGGCCTCAGACACCACACGTGCGCACAGACGCTAACGGGGAAGGTTCTGGAAACAGTCCAAATCACTTCAAGGAACATTGTTGCTCAGGGGGTGGGGGTTCGGGCTGGAGGGGGGGGGGTGAAGGTGGGAGTGGAGGGGGAAGGAGGAAAGTACAGGCCTGGCCCTAAACCCCGGGGGGTTGGATGTGGGGCGGGAGGGGGGGGGGCGAGAACCTGAATATTTTGCAGATTTGAGGTTTCAACACTTGGGATAAAAGTTAAAGATCGGGACAGAGAGGGGATTGTGTCCACAATATCCTCGACCGGGAAACACACTACAATTTAACACTGTTCTCCTCCGGGCTGCACTGCCCGGGAAACATACAGAGCTCTGTCACTCACTCACTCTCTCACGCACACACACACGCGCGCGCGCGCACACATACACACACACGCACGCACACAAAGACACACACACACACGCGCACGCGCGCACATACACACACACGCGCGCACGCATACACACACACGCACGCACGCATACACACACACGCACGCACGCATACACACACACGCACGCACACATACACACACACACGCGCGCACACAAAGACACACACACACACGTGCGCGCACACACACAGACACACACTTTCTCGCACACGGATATTTTCTCACGAACACAGACACAGACTCTCTCTCTCCTCTCTCTCGCTGCCCGAGCTCCTCAAGCCGGCTGTAAACCGTGCAGAGTGAAGCCAGATGTTCTGGGAGGCGCTTTGCTGAACAGCCCAGAGAGGCTCCAACTCTGCAGCACAAGGCAATGGCGAGGGGGCCGGGGGGGGGGGGGGTAAGAGGGGGAGATGTAATGGAGCGGGGAGGAGAGAGGGCTGCCTTCACCTCAGGATGGGGGTTGTGGCTGGAGTTGGTGACAGGGGCATGAACGGGCACCGGATGTTTATGAAGTCACAGTAACGGGGCTGCTCGCTCGTCGGGAGAGCAAACGGTGCCAAAATCTGAAGGAGGTACGGCCCGTGGGTCTCATTGGCTAATGTGTGCCAGGCAGGTCCACAGTGTCCCAGGACACTGCTGCTGACACCACAGCTCAGCCTGGATCAACGGCAGGACCTGGAAGGTCACTGGGGGCAGGGAATCCTTCCACTCAGCTCCTGTTGACCCTGCAGCCGAAGTCCTGAAGGATAGGATGGTCCCAGCTGGACAAGCAGCGGATAGGAAAGCTTGCCAGCGTTCACAGTGGGTTTAGTTGGCTGAATGCCAGCAGTTACCCCAATGCACACTGAGCTCCCCCAAGGCTCGACTTTCTCTCTCTTTCTCTCTCTTGCTCTCCAGCCGCATCTAAACTCTCAGATTAGATAAGCAGGGTGTGTCCCTGCGAGAGCACGCTGCATACCAGATAAATACAAACCATACAGACTCCCGGCAGCTTCATTTACAGACTCTTACAGCACAGTCAGCAGTTTCCACAGTGATCTTACAATCAGAGCCAGGACAGTTAGAGATCAGGAAAGATTCCTTCACACAAGAGACAGGAGGGAAAATAGGAAAATCGCACCCACCCACCACCCACGGGGCCGTCCCCACCACCCACGGACACACAACCGGGGGCTGGAGACATTTCTTTGATCAGTCGCTACACATGACAGAGTACAGTCACTATTACAGTAAGCCCTGTGGGATGCTCTGGGAGGTGTGAGTGTGTGTCAGTATGAGACTGGGGTTATCTGTGGTATTTAAGGAGAGCTGCCGACACCCTGAACTGTGGGTGGTGTGGGCAGGGTGTCGGGGTGTTAGTGTGGGGTGCTGTGGGTGGGGGGGGAGGGTGAGGCTGTGGTTACCTCTGGGATCGAAGGGGGTCTGCCGTTACCTGCGGTGTCGGTGTGGGGTGGGGTTACCTGCGGTGTCTGTGTGGGGTTACCTGCGGTGTCTGTGTGGGGTGAGCTGCGGTGTCGGTGTGGGGTGAGCTGCGGTGTCGGTGTGGGTGGGGTGACCTGCGGTGTGGGGTGGGGTGACCTGCGGTGTGGGGTGGGGTGAGCTGCGGTGTGGGTGGGGTGACCTGCGGTGTCGGTGTGGGGTGGGGTGACCTGCGGTGTGGGGTGGGGTGACCTGCGGTGTGGGGTGGGGTGACCTGCGGTGTGGGGTGGGGTGACCTGCGGTGTGGGGTGGGGTGACCTGCGGTGTGGGGTGGGGTGACCTGCGGTTGTGGGGTGGGGTGACCTGCGGGTGTCGGTGTGGGGTGGGGTGACCTGCGGTGTGGGTGGGGTGACCTGCGGTGTGGGGTGGGGTGAGCTGCGGTGTCGGTGTGGGGTGACCTGCGGTGTCGGTGTGGGTGGGGTTTACCTGTGGTGTCGAAGGGGATCTGCCAACACTCGGAGCTGTTGCGGCCCCAGGGACACGTGTAGACGGCCCCCCCCTCCGTGATGTTGGGTTGGGTGGTGTTGGCTTTGGGGGCTCCAATAAGAACACTGGGCCTGAGAAACGACACAAGGTCAGAGGTCAGCATGTACAGCATCGCACAGGTCAAGCGAAGGGGAGGGGCCAATAGGAAGAGGAGGGGCCAGTGGGGAGGGGAGGGGCCAGAGGGGAGGGAACAGTGGGAGAGGGGAGGTCCCGCAGGAGGAGGGAGGGGCTGGTGTGGGGGAGGTCCCGCAGGGTCCAGTATTGGAGGAAGCACTGACACTGACCCTCTCCACGGACCGGAGAAGGACAGACAAGAGTCAGAGAGGCTCAGGTCCGCTCACAGCCCCACAGACACACAGCCCCACAGACACACAGCCCCACAGACACACAGCCCCACAGACACACAGCCCCACAGACACACAGCCCCACAGACACACAGCCCCACAGACAGCTCTCAGTCAGTGTGGACAGTGCCTATTGTCACTGCTGTAACAAGCAGCGCGTGTTAGCACGTGTCCTCACAGTCTGCACATCCATGTCCTGTAGCCTCGGTGAGGCTCACACAAGACAATAAAGTTAACTGATCGCAACAGCCTCACTTACCGACTTCCGGAGATTATTACAACAACATCAACAACTTGGGTTTATATAACAGCTCACGCAGGGGGGAGAGTGCAGAGCACACAGTATCAGGTTAGCAATAATCGCAATCACACTGTGTCACTGGACATTACAGAGACACACACAATAAAAGACCCAAACACTTTCTCCCCCCACCACAAGACCGAGTCTCGTCACAAACACTGCCCCCTCCCCACCAGCTCAGTCGGTAACACTCTCTTATCATCTCTGAGTCAGGAAGTTACGGAGGACATTGAGCTCGCACACAGCACCAGGTGTGGGAATAAGACATTAAACCATCTGTCCAGCAGTTTGGGACGTCCTCCTGACATGAAAGGTGCTATGTTGTTATTGTTGTTGTTGTGACTCATTTCCCTTCCCATTTTCAGGTCTCTGCTGAAGACCTTTCTTTTCGACCGTGCCTTTGGTCCCCTTCCTCCCCCTCCTGCTGGCTTGGCCCCGGGATCTGTTACTGTGAAGCGCTCTGAGACGCCGTCCGGCGTGGAGGGCGCTATATAAATCCAAGTTGTTGTTGTTGACTCTCCAGGTGGACGTTAACGGTCTCACTGCGCTGCTCGGACAAGAAGGGAGATTCCTCTCTCCTGAACGACAAACTACCGGAAAATATTGGTCACTCGTTTCATGGCTGTTTGCAGGCTGTCTGTGAGCAAATTGCGCTCAGCATTAATGTCAATATTAGGGAGCAATGGGGCCGAAAAAAACACAGGTCACTACACTTTACAGTGAATCCTGTGAAGCGCTTGCACCCCTCTCTGTCTCTCCCCCTCCACCACCCCCCCGACTGAAACTGGCCATCTTCCTCTTGCTCTCCATTCATTTCCTGCCATTGTGCCATTTACACTCGGTGACTCACCAGCAAAGCCTTGTTCAGCAGTACCAGGGCTTCCTCCCTCCCTCCCACCTCCCCCACCCCCAACGCTAAACCCTGGGGCTAATGGCTAACCACACCACCCCACCCCCGGGGCTGACCATTCTAATCTCACTCACTGGAGACTCTCTATCACACATCAAGTGTTTATTTGACTCCCTTTTAATGACGTTATTAACTGAGCTTCCAGGAGACTGGGTGGAGACAGCAGGAAGCTGGTGGGGGTGGGGGGGCGAGAATGAGATGTGACCATTAAACCTCACTCACTCTGCATCACAAACCCAGGACAACAACAACACATTACATTTGTATAATGCCTTTCAGGACAGGAGGATGTCCCGAGGCACTGACAGGCCAGCCACAGGGGTGGGGGGGGGAGGAAGGGATGGGGAGAGGCTGCCGATAAAGCGTGTGTGTGTGTGTGACCGACACTGCCAATCCACGCACAGCGACAACCCACAAAAACCTCCTGTCGTTCTATCATTATCTGGACCACAACTCTTTCTCCCTGTCTGTCTGCCATCACTTCCTGCAAGCTTTCCTTTGTGAATGAAACTTCTCATCCTCGGCATCATATTTTTCGCCTACAAAACCCACAACAACAACAACTTGCATTTATACAGCGCCCCCTTCACGTGGGGGAAGTGTCCTGGAGCGCTTGACAGCGGTGGAGCCCCTGACCCCCGAGCCGGTGGGGGAGAGGGAGGGCGGGAGGCGACCTTAAGCACGATCAAAAAGGAAAGTCTTTAGGCAGGATTTGAAAGTGGGGAGGGAGGGGGCGAGGTGGAGGGATTGAGGGAGAGAGTTCCAGAGTCACTACACTTTACAGTGAAGCCGGGGAAAGTGCTGTGATCTGTCCTCTCGATGGGAAACTGGTAGTTCAAACACTCCAGCAAGGCTCCTCTTTGTCCTTGACCTGCTGTGTGTAACATGCAGATGTGCACAGACTCTCAACTTGGCCCAACTAATGATTTACAAAGTGAGACCAGTGGAGGTTCTGCAGTCCTACCTCTCCCTGTGCCTCTCACTCATTCACTCCATCCTTCATTACTATAATCATAACAATCCTTGCATTTGATACAGCGTCTTATCATGTCATATCAGAGCGCTTCCCAGGGATACACTGAAGGAAATTGACTGTGTACTTTGTGGGTGAAACGCGGCAGCCAATTGCACACAGCGGTGTCCCGCAAACAGTCTTGGGTTGAGCAACAAAATTATTATTATTATTTATTTTGAAGGGATTATTACCCCCGGAAAAGCGATCCGCCAATCGACTAACAATCGGGTTTCTACTGACTGCTGAATAAACCGAGGCGTGTGGAGTAAGGAAACTTGTGCCCTGCCCAGGAATCGAACTCAGGTCCTCTCGTTTGCAAGGCAAGTACTCTAACCGCTGAGCTACAGGACTATATCCTCGGGAGTCGTTATGGTGAGCAACGGGTTAATACCGCAATCTGTTAACACACACAAGAGAACCCCCCCTCCCCACCACCCCCGGGTTCCCGGGGTGCGAAGCAGTTTGATGTGCAAGCCACTGTATAACATGTAAATTGCTGTAACAGGCACCCAGCCCCCAGCACTGCTCATTGACCACAGCGGGCGGGAGGTGGGGGCAATCACAGCCACGTGTGATCCTGTCCTCACCGAGGTGGGGGGGGCAGGGGTGATCAATTATGGGGGAGGAGACGCTGCCAGGCTTCCTGCTGTTGGTACCTGGCAAGACGGGGTGGGGGGGGGGCAGTGGGCGCCAGGCCGGGTGGTTGGATACTGACTGAAATGAGGGGCCCATTGCTCCCTAATATTGACATTAATGCTGAGCGCAATTGGCTGCCGCGTTTCGCCACCCCCCCCCCCCCATAAAATAGTCACTACACTTTACAGTGTATCCTGTGAAGCTCTTTGAGGCGTCTCAAAGGCATGATACAGCGCTGAATCGAATGCAAGGATCAGTATTATTATTATTTATTAACACAATATCATCTACATGTATGTTCAGAGTCTTGCATGTCAGGAGGAAGTCCCAGAGTGCTGGGCATTGATTCTCAGACCCACTGACCCACCCGCCCGGTCAGTTCTAGAAACAATCTTTTTTGGGGGTCTGACACACGCGGAAAACCCATCGCCATTGCTCTAAGACTCTCCCAACCCAACCGAGAATTCCATGCATCCCACTTACACGTGGGAATCCGGGATAGATTGGCGGAATGGAATGCGCTCTCTCTCTCTCTCTCTCTCTGGAGGGACGCCCCCTGTTTTCCAGAGAGTATTAGGCACAGGTTGACGAGAGCCAAGGCTTGGTTGGGGGGGGAGCCCAGAGTGTGGGTTGGGGGTAACTGCTGGAGTCTAACCAGATAAACCTTGGCCATCGAGAGAGAGAGAGAGCGCTGTCTGGCAAACTTTCCCGCTGCTTGTCCAGCGAGGACCACCCTCTCCCTACCCGTTAGGGCTTTGGCTTGAGGGATTAACTTGAGGAGCTGAGTGGAAACACTGTGGAATCACAGTGCAGGGGGCGGGTTGGGGGGGGGGGTGTCTGGCGGGTTTCAAACATTTGGGTTAAAAGTAAAATGCCGCCAATAAACTGAATGGACCTGTGAAATGTAACAGATTAACACACATCCCTCACATCCCCCCATACACACCCCTCTCGCCCCCCGCCCCCCTCCCCCCACACACACACACTCCCCCTCCCCAGTTAACACAGAGAGAACAACCCACACTGGGACAGTCTGTATAACCACACACAGAAACATATATACACAGACACACACACACATATATATAGACACAGACACACAGAGATACAGACACACAGAGACACACACACATATATATATATAGACACAGACACACAGAGATACAGAGACACACACACACACACAGACACACAGAGATATAGACACACAGAGACACACACATATATATACACACACAGACACACAGAGATACAGACACACACACACACACATATACATATACACATACACAGATACAGACACACAGAGACACACACACATATATATATATAGACACAGACACACAGTATATTTTTGCCTCTTAACTGTTTCCTCTACAAAAAAAGTGCTTAAACTGTATTAAAAGTTAGAACCAATGGCTGTTAGAGACAGACTCTCCCCCCACACCCCCCAAACCCCACCCCACCCCCCAAACCCCCCACAGCTGTAAAACTGTCCCCCAAACTTTTGCCAAACTTTCCGCCAACTCACGTCTCGGCTTCTGGGGTATAGAACTCCACCGAGTAACCGAAGTAGGAGCCGCGGGGACCGCTGTACACAGATGGGCTCAGGGCGTCCAAGTTAAACCCCACCGACAGCGGCAGCATCGCGGCCACCAGCAGCAGCCACAGCCCCCCGCACCCCCCGCACCGCGTCCCGCACCCCCCCCCGCACAGCCTCCCGCACAGCCCTCCTGCTCCGCAGCCGAGCCTCATGGCTGATGTGTCTCTCTCTCTCTCTCTCTGCGATCCTCACTCACTCACTTCATCCTCTCTCTCTCTCTCTCTCTGCACAATACCCCGCAACCGCACACACCCCCCACCACCCCCTGTGGGTGATGTCAGAGGGAGGGAGGGAGGGAGGGGCTGTCTCTCTGCTCCTAAATTAAGGGAAGAAGGCAATTACCAACTTATATGGAAAAGTTCCATCATCTCTCTCTGTCTCTCTTCCTCTGTCTCCCTCTCCTTATCTCTCCCCCTGTCTCCCTCCCTCTCTCCCTATCTCTTTCAGTATCTCCCTATCTCTCCCCCGTCTGTCTCCCTCTGCCTCACAAACAGCCCCAACCCTAATGACAAACTTTATGGGGGGGGGATTGTTGGCCAGGACACTGGGTGGGGGGGGAGAGAGAGAGAAAAACTGCGTTCCCTTTTCCGTTCGCGCCACGAGATCTTTAACAACCACCTGAACAGGTGTAGACGGAGAGGTGAAGTTTAACATTAACTCGAAGGACAGCGCCTTTGACAATGCAGTTCCCCCGTCCCCCCCACCGCGTCCCCCCAACACTGGGCTGGAGCATCAGCTCAGACTGTGAGCTCACAGCCCTGACGTGGGTCATGAACGCATAGCCTCCTGACTCCAACGTGAAGGTGGAGTGAGTTCCAGTGTTACCTGCTCAGTGTGTTTGTATCAGCGCAGATACATGTTTGGCAATGGAACGTCGGATTCGGGCCCCCCCCCCCCACCCTTTCCCCCGGGACGGTCTCGAGGCCCCGGTTCCTGAGCCAGGAGGGGTCGCAGTGTCCCAGGGCACTCACTGCTGATGGCAGCCCGGACCGGCCCGGCTCAGCCATCGGCAGGACCGACCAGTCACTGGGGGCAGGGAAAGTTTGCAAGACAGCGCTCAAGACAGGCAAGTTGTGTGGGTTTAGCTGGTTAGACTCCAGCAGACACTCTGCGGACCCCAAGCCTTGGCTCACGCTTGCCAAACTGCGGCTAATACTCTCCGGAATTACGTAAGGTGGATGCGTCCCTCCAGGGAGAGAGTGTGGGGGTGGTGAGGGGTGGGGTGGGGGGTTAGCAGAGGTTGAAGTCTCTTGAGGGTCAAAAATCAGCAGTGGCTGGGAACACTCAGCAGGTCGGCAGCATCTATGGAGAAAGGAAAGTGAGTCAAAGTTTCGGGTCCACGACCCTTCGTCTCTCAGGGTGTATGACTCGCGTTGCCAGGCTGAGGAAAACTACTGTGAAGTGTATTTACACAGAGAGCGATCGCTGAATCACTGGAAAGCACACTAAACGGACATATTAGGAGCTGGGAACAGGGTGACTCCTCACTGAGGTGTTGGAATGAGATCAGACAGCGAGCGAGTGAGTGAGTGAGTGAGTGAGTGTCTGACTGCAGTGAGTTATGGAGACAATGACAGGAATTTACACACAGAGAGACACTGCGCTGTGAGGAGCGAGTGAGAAGTTACAGAAGGGAAATCTCTGGGAGAAACCGTTTCACACATACACAGGAAGGGGGTGAGGGCGTGAGATGTCGTCGGGCACTGAGGCCGAGGCTGAACGCAACTGTTTGGGGGACGTCGCCAGGCGCAATTGGCTGCCGTGTTTTGCCCGCAAAATACACAGTCACTACACTTTACAGCGTATCCTGTGAAGGTGCTTCGAGATGCCTGGAAGACGTGATAAGGCGCCGGGTCAAATGCAAAGATTTTAATGAGGGTTGGCGTCAATCAGTCAGTGAGCAGCTGGACACACGCAATCGGGATGTGGGGAGCAATCTGACCCCCAAGGAGCCCCCTCCTCCCAGTGTATGGCGAGGCCATGGGGGGCTGGGGGGTGGGAGTTGAGTGGGGGGCTGAGGTCTCGGGTTCTGCGCTGTGTCATTACTCTCACTGTGTGGCCCCAGCCTCAGTAATCGCTGAGAAGCCACAGAGTCTTTAGTTGGGATCATTACATGCGGCTGATATTTAATAATTCCTATTAGGTTACAGTTGATACAAGACAAGCTATCATTAAAGCTTCTCTGGGATAAGCAGCCACCAGAGTTTGCTGACCACCACTCACTCAGCCAGCTTCATCTGACATAACCTCACATCCCAAACCCAAACCACAGCCACCGACTGTCAAAAAGATCATTCAGTCCAGCAACAATGTCCCCCTCCTGATTCAGCTCAACAACAACGACAAGAAGTTGCATTTATTTAGCAACTTCCACGTCAGTTCTCACTCACACTTCACAGGCAGGAAGCTGTGGGCCGAACTCATCACATTCACACTCTGAGCTCACAATCCAGGCATCAGATCAGTTGCACCCATCCTTCCGACGAGTCCCTTTTGTGCCGAATCCACACCAGGTAGATGTTAAGAATCCCATGGCACTATTGGAAAAGAGAAGGGAGTTTCTCTCTCTCTTCTCTCTCGCGCTCGCTCGCTCTCTCCCGGTGTCCTGGCCTACAATCCCCTGAATAAAAATTGGTCGTTCAATTCAGCTTCAAATGCACCTCCTCTTCCCCCGGCCCCCCATCCCTTCTCTCCCTCGTTCAGCATCCAATCCCGTCCCCACATCACATCACCACGCGCTCAGTTTCTGTCTCGTGTTTGTTTGCAAAATAATAGTAATTCTTGCACTTGGTATGGCACCTTATCACGTAGTTGAGACATCTCAAAGCGCTTCACAGGATATAGTGACTGTGTATTTTGTGGGCGAAACACAGCAGCCAGTTGTGCACAGCAGTGTCCCATAAACAGCCATGGAGTGAATGAGCAATTTTATTTGGGGGATTGTTTGCCAGGACACTGGGGTAGAGAGAAATACCCTTCTCTTTTCGAATAGTGGCATTGGATCTTTAACATCCACCTGAATAGGCAGACGGGACCTCGGTTTAATGTCTCATCCAAAGGGCAGCGTCTTCAACAATGTAACACAGGCTCAGCGCTGCATTGGAGCGTCACCTTAGACTACGATTCCATGTCCTGACGTGTGAGGACTTAAACCCATAACCTTCTGCTCAGAGGCAAGAACGCTGCCACTGTGCGCCAGGCTGGCAGACGGAGGGTACTGTATAAATGCAATCAGTTGCGCTTGTCGATTGGACAGCGCTGCGCACAATTTGGCCTCCGTGTTTTGTCCGTGTTTTGTCTACCAAATTCCCAGTCACTGCACTTTACAGTAACTCCTGTGAAGAGGCTGTGGGATGTCCTCCCGACGTGAAAGGCACCGTCCAGATGTTATTATTATAATGTTGTGTGTTTGTTTCCTGTGTCAGGGTCTCACGGTGCTTACAAAGGCCTCCACAGGATTTACTGTAAAGTGTAGTGACTGTGTGTTTTATAGGCGAACGTGGTAACCAATTTGTGTCCTCAACCCTACAAACAGTGAATGATTTTATCTGGAGGAATTTTACTCTTTTGCACGCATAATGATTTAGCGATTGACATGGTGATTGATTTGCAGATTGATTTAGCAATTGATTTGGTGATTGATTTGCGGATTGATCTGCGGAGCTCCTGTGTCGACGGCAGCAGAAGGAGTTCAGATTGGTGCCTCGCTCCCGGCTGGAATCCTCGTCCTGAGAGGAAACATTGATTTAAGAGCGAGTGCGTCACTGGATGGGAATTTCAATCAGCACAAGTCAGAGAGTGAGGCCGTGACCACACTTATTGACAACAGCTTGTAACTCAATCCTAACGTGAACCCTGTTCATGTGATAAGTTTACAGAAAACATGGGACAGATGCGCTTTGGGCTGTCAGGGTAATGAGTGGCTGACAGAGCACTGAATCACTGCTGTGGAGAGGGACTCAAGGGAAATAATTATTAACTGGTTCACAGCCACGAGCTGAGGGTGGGACTGATCTTAACAAAGATGTCTTTCTGTGAAGAACTGACCACTAACATGGCAGCCTGTGGCACACAGCAACACACACAGGAACACAGCAACACACACACACAGCGACGCACAATCCCAGCCCCCAACCCCGCACTCAGAAATACAACAGCAGCAACAACAGAGAGAGACACAGGTAGAGGCAGAAAGAGAGAGACAGAGACACAGGTAGAGACACAGAGACAATTACAGAGACACAGGTACAGACACAGAGCCACAGAGACACAGGCAGAGTCACTACAAGACTGGCTGTTTTCCATGTTATGACAGGACCATGTGTAATATGACCTACATGTCACTATAATTGTAAAACCCCGGACCCTGAGATCATTATGAGTTATTAATGAAATATTTGACCTGGACATGGACCTCATTACAGCAATCACTGGTCATCGGAGAGACGGAGCTGTGAGCTCTCTGCCCAGCTCCACACCCAGTGTTGAACTTCCCTCAGCCAAGTTGAGTCAACAGTCTGAAACCTTCTCTGCGGAATGAATGGAAATACACAAGATTGTCGCGCTCACTCCCCGCGCAGCTCACAGTCCAGGCTGCTCCTGTAATGCAGCGCTGGGGGTTGTTGCATTGACTTGAGGTCCGTCCTTCAGTGAGACGTTAAACCTCACTCCCCGTCTGTGCCCTGTTCAGGTGGACGTTAAAGGTCTGGCAGGGCTATTGGAAAAGAGAAGGGAGTTTCTCTCTGCCTCCTTGTGTCCTGGCCAATAATTGTTCAGTGATTCCCTGTGAAGGGCTGAGAGATCTCAATGTTTCAGGCTCAGGATTATTGTTATTATATTATTATATTATAACAAGGTCTTGTGTTGGTGGTGAGGAGGCGCTGATGGGAGCCAATCAGGAGAACCTCGGTCTTGTTGACAGCTGAAGAAAGTTAGCTCTCATCCCAGACTTGATGTCCGACAGACATTCCGTCAGGACAGCAGTGGTCCTGGAGTTGAGGGTGGAGGCAGAGAGGTAGAGTTGGGTGCCATCCGCATGCATGGGGAAGTTGACCCCATGTCTGGATGACTCACCAAATGGG